TCACTGTTTCTCAGATGACTGGTACATACATACATATGTGGAAAATGTAGTCAGTAGGGGAACACATTGCAACAGCTGTTAAAATTACTGTTATTAAGCAGGAGACATCAACTATGGCTAAGACCTCACGTATGAACTACTACTCTTCAGAAAGCATAAGATGCCATTTATAGATAATAACGCCTGCAAAGATTGCTGAGCATGTTTTCTCTGGCATCTTGTATTTCACAGGTTACAAGTATATTTTCCTCTTCCTTTCACAGCAACCTGCAGGAGCATTTGTTTTCTTTTTCACACTTTGTTCTTTCTTCTGCCATTACCAAAGCTGACAGTCTGGCAGGCTCTAACATGCGCTATAAGTTCACAGATAAATTAAAGGAGTAGCATCAAGCTAAAAGGAGCTGCGAAGAGATGTCCTTCATTTCTCAGAGGGAAAAGAAAACAACTGTTACACTGCAAGTCCTCTCTTTTTTCAGCTGATACCACATTTGGAAATTTCCTCAGCTAAAGTGAAGAGATTGTAAAAACAGTATATCTCTCATTTGTCTAGAGCAGGTTGGATACTCCATTTATAGGAACTCAGCAATTGATAACTTGGTTTGTCAAGAGAGCATATTACCCTAACTAGCAATATTATATACTTGAAAGCTTTCTAAATACTCTGAAAAGCCTCTTTTTTTGATTCAAGCATTAAGCAAAACATAGGTTCCTTGGCTTATTTTCAATTTGCCAAAAAATAATCAGGGAAAGTTTCTAAATGTGACATTCCTTCTCTATCAATCTACAGTTTTAGAAATCAAAAATAGTAATCACAGAAAAAAAGGTGCAAGTGCTGCAGTATCTGATTCTGAAGATACTTTTGCTATAGAAGTCAGGTTTCTGTATTTTCTGTTGAGGGTACAGTCAGTTGGTAAGTAAAGGATCACTGTTAGGGAGACATAGGAAGTCCATTCATTCATGTCAAGACCAATATACACTATTCTGCAATATATGTAAGCAGATCTTGCCAAACTCAAGTAATCCAGCAAACTCAGAGGTACCTTGCTCTGCTGTATTTACATGCTTCTCACATCTTCAGGAGCAAAAGCTTTCTACATGTTATGAAACCTGCTCCTTCAGATGAAACTGGCCATAGCAAAATTCACACTATAGCTGTCTTTCAGCACTTCACTCTTTCAAAATATAAAGATTAGGCACCTTAGCACTTAAATATAGGAGTAACAATTTGGTAAGAAAAGGAGATTCTGAAGTGCAAGAACACTGTACAATATTATATGAACAATAAAATAGTCTATGTATTCTGCACAGCCTTTCCTCAGAAAAATAATCTAAACCTTGGAGTTAGGGATGTGAGGGCTTTTCTTTTAAAAATGTAATTAATGCTATCTCCCATCAGAATTCAATGGGAAGTTCAACTGAATTGTCAATTCAACATAAGGCGCTCTCTTACAAAAAGCAGCATTGCTACAACCACACAGCAGTGCTCCATTGAAGAAAACGCACCTTGACAAGTTTTGTGCTCATGAGCATGGGTAAGGGTCAGCGCTTTCCAAGTTACATATATTTAACTGGCCTCTTTTGTGTAAGAAAGGAGACACTAACAAAAATATACTTGTCACAATAATTGAAAATTACCTGGGCTGCCACATACAGAGATAACATCTCTCAGTCACTTCTCTGTTTCTGTAAGAAGCAAGGGAGAAAATATTGTATCTTGCTTTTTTTTTTTTTCAGACCTACTTACTTAAACAAGTAGGACCTATTGCAGAGTGCTCTGTAAAACAAATCTGTTAATCCTTAAAATTATTTGGATGCTTACAGTTAAAGAGTGTTCATCTCATTCTGTTTTACCTGCAGATCTCATATCCCTGAACATGATGCTCCTCCTTTAGGAGATTTAGGGATTCCCAGATTAAATCAGCTGTTTCTATTTTCAGCTCTCCTTTCAAGGTAGCTGACCAGCCCTTAGCAGGAACTGACAGGTGGTTGTTTTGTGAGCTGACTCAAAGGCTACTAGCTTTTTTAGGCAGATCTTAATTTTCGGCCACATGCCTGCCAAATGCTGTGACAAAGTCCTGTAAAACTCGAGATTCAAAGATTGAATGCATTTCCCAAGGTAATTTCCCATGTCTTCTTGGGGAAGAAAATTAGATTTGTGTAATTCTGTCATAACATTTAGTGTTGAATCTAGCAAACTATATTTATTCAGGATGGTTTAATATAATAGTAGGAATTTAGTGAGTAGCGGCACACTCTCTGCTTATTTCTTCAGGCATCTTGTGCGCGGACGCTCCTGCCTCAGCTGAACGGAGGCATCTGATTCAAACAGTGCATCACCCCCAAGTGTCAACAACAAAGTTGCATCAGTTTAAGCAAATTGTTAAACTGGTGTAACTGTGAAGACAAGCCTTGTAGGACAATAAAGATTTCTCAAGTCTTAATCAACCTAGCTGTGGTTTAAATATTTTGGGAGTTAAAGGGTTTCTGTTGACACCTCAATATAATTGTGCTGAATCACAGAATCTCCTTCTCAGTCTTGCTAGAGGTAACAAAATGGTAAACCTGAAGCAAAGGAGCTTTCCTCTGGTGTGTTTGGTTACCAGTTCTAAAAAAACCACAGAGTGTTCTGTAGACTGAATAGTACACTCATCCCCTCTTAAACAGGTCTCCATCCCGCAATCGGAGGTTGTAATCCTACTTTATTTCCAGCAAACCCATATATGCAAGTGGGGAGAGAGAAGGGAGTAAGGAAGGAACTAACCTTTAGAAGCACATTTTCTTCTTTGCATACACCTCAGTTTTAAGCAGAGCAGATTAGTTAAACTGAAAAGAGGAGGGTGGTGTTGGTAGTGTTGTTTGAAGGGGGTTTGTTCTGCTTTTGAGAAGAAAGTAACAGAGAGGTACAAACTTTTGAAGTGGTTTCAGCTGAGTTGTCCAGTTACATTGACATAGTAAATCTCTCCTACATTCCCCGTCTTCACAGCGAGGAGGGCCCACTGTCCAGGCTAGCGCATCAGGCAAACATGACAGCAAGCTGCTGCATGACCTCTTCTCATGGAAACCCTTCACAGGTACCTGCCTCTGGCTCCTGAGCCCCAGGTCTGGCACAGGCTGGGAATCTCAACACGCTCAGCAAACCCTTCCCAGCAGGATTAATTTGCTGCACTTTTAATTCTTGCCCACTTGTTTCTTCTGTTGGGCAGCAACTGAACACGAGTGCAGCATTGAGTCACACCTGTTTCCAGCTCAGCCCTCTGAACCACAGTTGCCCTGATGTCTGTATGAAGGCCAGCACAGATACAAACAGACAGGAGAAATGAGGCCTTTTGCTGGGCTGACATCAGAGCAACACAGCTTCACAGCTTCTTTCTGGTAAAGCTGATGCAAAGGAGTCGTTTCTTCCCTTCAAGAGACAGGCTAGTTTGAAAATCTGCAAGAGAAAGGTGCCTTTTATTTCTGGCAGAATGTATGGGATTCAAAAAGCAGGGAGGGGAAGATCAAATGGTGCACCGGGGTTACACCAATTTGTTTGAATTTGGCAGTCCTACTCCTGTCCTCCATCAGCATGTCCTAAATTCAAGGGGTTTCCTAAACAGAAATGACTCTGGCTGCATCATCCACATACTTAAGGATCCATTTTTCTGGTCTTTTAATTTTTTAACATAAACACAATTCCACAGAATCCTCCTACCAATGAAAGGTACCCCTTCTAGACATGCCAGTTTAAGAGTGGCAGACCACCCAGCCCAGCAACCCAAGGTTGTCTGAGCAGTATACTTTCTTCCTCCACTAGAAAGCAGAAATTATCCCCAAGTAAGAATTTTTTTTTATGTGACACCTAAATGCCTGCCTTCCTCTCTCCCAATGAATATGGTAACTATCCTAGTTAGAAAACTGTATGAAGTAAAGCCCAGTTTCTTCCCAATTGATATTTCAGTTTCAAAATCCAAAGCCAGCTGTCCTACAGCTGGCAATCTGAAACGAGTAAGGTCATGCCATACACTCCTCCCAAGCCTTTTCACCACATGAAGGCAGCAGTCAAGTGCTTTAATACAACACACGAGGCTTGACAGACGTGTAACCCTAACCACAGTTTCGACTTTGTTTCTTTCCCAGGCAGTAACTACAGAAGAGCACTGCAGAACTGGCTTGGTGAAACAGGACCCGCTGACACTTGGAAGGCCGTCTAAATGTCTGCACTCTCCTTCCCAGTTTTTCACAAGCAAAAGAGGAAACGTAGGTAGGCGTAGAAACACCCCAAGGCAGACATGAAGCGAGGGAGGTGTTAACCACAGCAGTTCTTTCTTCAGTGAGTGCATGGCAGTTCCCAACAGCAGGTTGGAGTCAGTATACACAAAAAATTATGCACTGTAATAGTTGGAGTCTGCAGGCATCAGCTACACCAAGCCCCAGCCTAACCCTAATGACTTGGGAAAGGCAGTGCAGTAGCAGTGACCTTGCATGGAGCTGGACTATTTTTCAAAACAGTCTTTTTATGCAGCAATGCAGAATTTCAGCGGTGGGATTGGCAGGGGAAGGAATAGAACAGTTTTCTTTGCATGGTGGCTCACTGAAACTGCATTTCCCTCCTCCCACTCGCACTTTTCCAGAGGCTGGCTTTGATTCCTCGAGTGGTGACACATGAACCCTAGACTGAAAGGAGACTAAATCATGCTGAACAAGTTTGTTCAAAGCTAGTATAGAAAGATCACCTATAACAACAAATTATCCTGTTAAGTTTTAAGTACAGTGAGTTGACCTGCAGATAGCCCTTACCTGTTCCAAACAGCCAAAAAGGTGGCATTTGAAGAACTGTTGCATTTCATCGTAATGGTAGCTAACATGATGTTGACTTTGTAACATGCTCTAGCATGTTAAAGCTGCTCTAAAAATAACATTAATACAGAAATTTAATTAGCTTAATTCAGTGCTGAAAAAAATCTTAAAACCTGCCCTTGGAACAGATTCCTTTATTAAAAATAAAACAGAGCCCCACATAGTCACAGTATAATCCATTTATTAGCATACCTTGTGAGCCATTGGTGTTGATCCAGAGGACATGACAGTTTTGGCACTTGACTGATTTCAGAGGTCCTCAGCCCCTGGTTAGTAGAAAGGGATTTTAATAGAACTGAGTGGGCTACTACACAAGCAAGTTTTTCTTCTTGATGTGGGAAATTAAATATTTTTCTGAACAGGTAAAAATATAGCCCAAGAGATGTGCATTGGTCCGGGTCACAGTGCCTCACTCCACAAGGAGCAGCCCCAAGCTGGTTACCACCAGGGGTCATTTCTGTTCCCTCTAGCTGCAAGAAACTCCTGTCAAGTCTATCAAGATGGTGTTAAATACTACAGTGCAGTTAATTTCTCAAAAGCTTCCATCTGATTGCTGAATATACACATATAAATCAGTCTTCAAGTGGTTGATGGATCACTGCAGCTTTTTTGAGGGTGAAGAGACTTCTGGATATTAGCTTCAGAAAGGAAGGAAGACAGACCCACCTCTCTTACCCCTGAGATAGCAAATATCCATGTTCCTGGTTCCTCACCAATGCCTCCACTAATACCACTGAGAAACTGATCTGTTATTCTCTGCTACAAGCGTACAAGGATTACAGGGGTAATCAACATCCTGTCCAGGTTAATAAATAGCTGCCTGATTAATTACAGCATAGAACATAATTCACAGAAATCATCAGAACAGTGTTCAGCTACAGGAAAGGGATATATCTTTAGTCCAGCTTCAGCTGGACAGAGCCTGGATTGGTGTCGAGACAAGGCTGATAAGGGCACCAATGCAGATCCTGCAGGTCAGGAAGAGACTGGCACTGGGTCAGCCTTTGTAGAGCACTGGGGTATTCCTTCAAAGAAGGATACCTGGAGCACTAATATCTCCTCTTTAGACCCTTACCATAGCCATGTTCCTACTCCTGCCAATGACTTCAGCCAGTCATAGTGACGTTCCCTTTCTCACGTAACCAGTGTGTGCCACACTACTATGGGAAGTTGTCTCACAGCACCCATGTGGCACAGTGTAGCCACCAACAGCAGTGACTGAGGTCTCAATAGCCTTATCCAACAGACTAACAGCTGCGAAGACAGACTGTATCAGCCCTACAGGTATGTCAGCCAAGGCAAGGCTCTACACAACTATTCAGGTGGTCCCTACCCAGAGCTGTGTTACGCTCCCCAGACGTGCCTACAGCAATTGCTCTGGGTTCAGAGGGGCTGCTGCACCTGCCCGAGGAACAGGAGGAATTCACCTTGGTGGGTTTTCATCCTCTTGTAGCTAGGCTGCCACCAAGACCACAACAGCAAGTCTAAAGCTAGCTCCAGCATACATACATAATATGCATAGAGCGCTGAAATCACTTACAGCATTGCCTACTATAGAAAATAATACTGAAAGTAATCAGCAGATGGCACAGCCTCCCTGGGCAAACTTCATTCAGTTCTGGTTACCAAAGCTTAAAGATCCAGCAGAAGGAGAAGACGTGGAGAGACAGTCAGTGTGTTATCAGATACCTAGACAGTTTGGGTTGAAGAGAGATAGAGAAGCCACGGTTTAGAAAAGGTTCTATCTCTAGAATAATGGACAACAGAGAATATAAAGCCAGGCCCCTTATTTCCTCTCATGGTTGAGAACACAAGGACAGATGGGATTGAATGAAAACAAAAGGCAATTAATTCAGGAACCATAAAAAGAAATTACGTGCTATGGAGAATAAAATTATATTGGTTCTCATTGCCAGAAAATATCGAGGCTGAGCGCTTAGTTGGATTAAATACAGGATTAAACATTTATATGGAAGATGAAGGCTGGTTACATTAAATAGTTTTTTAAAAGTTAGGGATATAAAAACTCTCATGCTTTAGAAAAAAAAAAAAAAAGAATCACAAAAGGATAGTGCATAGTGTTTGTACAGCACCTAGAGGACCAAGTACTTGTACTTCTATTTTTAATGATAATAATAGTAATGGAAGTAATTAATTTAAATGAGCCAAGAACAAAATTCCCCATAAGAAAAGATTGTTAAAACGTGCTCAGTACAAACTCACACGTACTGTCCTTTGAAATATCTGCTGCTGGCCAATATTAGGTAGGAAATACAGACCTAGGGCAGCTGAGTGCTGCTTAGTCAACCAGGCAGTCCCAGTAAGCCTCGGTGGCAAAGCATGCGAGTTTGGTTTGGGCCACAGTCCCAGTTTAAACAGTAAAGAGCAACAGTGGTGCACTGAAACAAGTCAGGACAGCTGAGGAGAGTATTGGCAGGCTTGCCTATGGTACCAGTAAGGTGTAAAAGTAGGTGAAGGAGATTGGATACTTCCTTCCCTCCTCCTGGCTCATGCAGGACTCACGGGATGTTAGTTACAAGGATTCTCACAGCTTTCATGGTGACAATATCTAGGAGAAAGAAATATTTTGAACTAGAACATGGGAATTTCAGAAGACAATGCCAGGCCTGCATCTCACTCGTGTTACATGGTAATGTGTTCTAACTCCTGAATGGCAACCAGCTAAGTAGGCTTAGGGAAATAACCTCATAGTTTCAATCCTTTGGGTGTTTCTATGCCTGTTGGGGCTAGGGGTATAAACTGAAAGATCACACCAGGTTAAACTAGAGATGTGACAGCACCCAAGGCACAGAAACTCCATCTGAGCTGCTGTAGCATGCTGGCTTGGGAAAGGCCGAAGGTAAAAGCCAAATCCCTCCATGTTTCCCAGACAGGTACTATTGCTGACAGTGTGGAAGTTGGCATTTAATCCCCAGCAAGACCAGAGGTCTGTGGCATAATTGCCCTCAGTCCTCCTGTCATTTTAATTCCTGGGAGATAAGGAACAGTTTGCAGCTTGCGCCTTAGGGACTCTCTGCCAGCAGCTGTAGGACAACGCAGCCAGCATGGAGCCAAGCATAGCGCTGCCGAAGGATCAGGCCTGGCACTTCAAACAGGGTTATCAGCACAAGCTGCACTGCAGACATTCACCCCCTCAAGAAGAGGCACAAACAAATCAGATCTGTCTCACAGGCCAGTTTGCATGGGTTCTGACATTTCATGTTTTAAAGATTTCTACAATTGTTTTTTAAAATAAAGTTTCCAAGCGGGATCTTTAAACAGTCCATTGCAACATTGGAAACCCAACTATCCTATAATCCCTGGAGAGGGTAAATGGAACTGTTTCATTTAACATTCACACACAAAAATCAGCCACCTAATTAGGTCAGCACCTTTACATTAATCTGTTTTATAGAGGAGAAATTAAAGCATTAGGCAATCCCTACTTACTGAATCCAAGGCAATTTCTAGGACTCTGTCACCACATGCCCTGTAATATGACATTGCTAATCCACAGGCTGTGCTCTGCCTTCTGTTCTTGCCTTGGCCATATCTGGGTACTGAATACCTCAGTACCTTGAGTGCAGACCTTCCAGACAGCAGGCCAGTGCCTGACCCAGTCATTGCCTACCCAACAGCACACGAGTAAGCCCAAAACATGCACATCTGGCACAAGTTCCATGTGTCCCATCCTGTATTCCCATGTTCAGGTCCTTGGTTATACATCAAAGTTTATCGCCCCTGCTCCTGAGCAGGCCTGTTTTCTCTCTGGCTTGTCTATACACAGTGAGAAGACACTGTGCACTGCACAACTGTTAATGCACTTAGCCCTTCTGTCTATTTTTATATTTTGCTACCTACTCAAGAATAATAAATTAACTTTCAAAAGGGTTTAAGGCCTAAGAGGAAACTATGTTCATTTGTTTGGATGACAGGGAAGGAAGCAATTGAAGTATTCGATAACCCCTGCTTTCTCTCAGCATTATTTCTGTCCAGGCTGAGAACTACAGCTTGATGGCAGTGCTTGCATACTCCTGAGTTAAGCCAGTTTACTCCCACTGAGAGGAATGAAAAGAGAAGTAGTGCAAAGAAGAGAAGAGAGGAAGCATAGCCCAGAGGCTGCAAGAATAGGACACACTTTGGGAAAGCAGGAAGCTGCTTTGCAGCACACTTACTGTTTTACACAAGGAGTAATTTGCTCGAGGTGGATCTACACCCCAGGCGTATTTCCATGTTTCATGGGAGAACTATGAGCACAGAGATATTAAAGACTAACATCACCAATAAAGGGCAGCTAATAACTATGATGAATGAGGTACCAAGAGGAACTCTCTGCGGTGCTGTTAAATCATGATTCAACACCTGAATGTTTGAGATTAACACTACATTTGAAGAAAAATAACGTGACTATTCAGCCTCTTGAGGTCACATTTTTAAGTTCTTTGTAGTAATCATGAGGGCAAGAAAGCTATTGTCTCTTAAAAATGAAGATTTACTCTCACACCAACAACTGATTCTAGGAGATGCTGCTTTAAGTAAAAAAAAGCCACACAAAAGAATCACTGTATTGGTAAAGCAGCAATAAAACCATAGCATCTGGCAGCTGGAAATGTGTGATAGAGGATTACAGCAGGAGGGACAAGCATCTCTTAGCAGGGACAGACATTTTAAAGGCATCATATGGGAGCAGACCTACTATTCAGAAGAGAAAAGGTTCCCCCTAGAGACATAACAGGGAAGGAAAAAAACCCAGCTGTTGGCCTGTTCCTCAGCTTGGGTCAAATCTTATGATTCCTGGAATTGAAGAGAGCTGTTATGAAAAAATATCTGAAGATTTCCACTATGCCAGAGCCTAGTGCCATCTTCCAAGCATCTCATCTTTCCTTGTAGTGTTTTTCAACTGTGCAAACATACAAAAACAATTATAGATTTACACAGGCAGGTATCTCTCCACTTCTACCATTTCTGTGTGCTACGGCAAAGAAACAAGTGTGATTGCTTTACAGGACTCAGGTAATCAGAGCAACATAGACTTATCATTCTTACCAGTATGCACCTGCTTTCTCTGCTCAGAGATTACAGACCAAAGTGAAAACAAAGACTTTAAGGAATCGGCCATAACTGTTTTTCTCCCAGTTCTACAGTTCAACGACAAAAGAAATCTCCATCAGTCACAGGCTAGAAGTCACAGCCTTCTGCTGCCGCAGGGCAAAAGGACCATACTTTGAGGTTCCTAGAGCTCAGACATTTTCATTTTAGCTTGGTCACTTTCTTGATCCAGGGTACATATTTGCTGACCTTTGTGTACACACCAGGGGAATCCTTCCGACCACAGCCGTAACCCCAGGAAGTGACCCCCAAAATGATCCAGCGTCCGTTTGATGTCTGACACATGAGTGGCCCTCCACTGTCACCTTGGCAGCTGTCCACTCGTTTATCTTCAGAGAGGTTCCCAGCACAAATCATGCGGTTAGTGAACTTCTGCCCATAACGGACCTCACAGTCTTCCCGCGGGAGAAGAGGCACCACCCCCTGCAGCAGGGTTCTCGAGTAGGACTTTCCTGGAACAGAACACACCAGCCAAACCAATTCACCTACAGACAACAGCAGTGACCTCAAGCAATGGTGCTCTGCGCAAAACCAGATATTTGTACATTTCATGTCAAGACTGTGGAGCAGAAATAGGCCAAGCTCAGCATCTCTGAACCACCAGAACTTCAGGAAACAGTGCTGCCAAGCCAGACCACAAAAAAGAGCTGTAAGATCAAAGAAATGGGGAAGAGGTTGGAGAAAAAGGTTAGATCAAAGGATGAGTCTTACTCCTAGTTCTGCCAACAAGTAACCTGAACCTTGTTCAATTTATTTCACCTCTTTGAGCCTCCATTTCCTCCTCTGTAAAACAAAGACTGTATTTTCTCAAGAGAATAAATGCAGTAATATTTGTAAAGTGCTCAGTCCTCAGAGAAGTTTTGGAAGATGTTTCAGAGGCATCCAAATATTATTCAGAGGGAGCTTACTTCTTCTTTGGCTAGATTTGTCTCTATTTGCTCAAATCTCTTTATTAACCCAGACTTGCTCAGAACATAAGGTTCACGTGCTTTATTAGAGTAACAACCTTTCTGCCAGTAACAATGACCAAGGTTTATGATAAGTTCACAAGGTCACTGGCCCTCTCGTTGGGCAAGCTGAGTTTGGTGCTTAGGAAGGATTCTAGCCATTAAGCCCCAGTACAGCTTAAGGGAGTTACATGGCTAAGTTGCTCCTTGATCATCCCCAGACACCCCAAAGTGACACGTGCACCTGGCACAACTGCCTCCAAAGGCAAACGTATACTTGCAGTCAAACACTTGGGGTAGCTGCTAGGGAAACAGCTGGGGAGGAAGGGCGAGTCCAAAATCAGCAGACAAGCTCCTGGGGCTATTTGCCTTTTGGCAGTAAGTCTTTCTGAACATATGGCTTTGCTCCAGTCACAGCAGCCCCAGAAAGGCCTCCTTGCCCCAAGCCCTGCATTGCACCTCTGATCCTCAAATGTGGGAGGACTGGACCACCAGTTATAAAGCTTTGTTTAGAGTTTAAAACTGTCTCCTGACCTTGGTAACACATACATGTCAGGAAGCCACCAAGCCTAGCATTTTAAAACGTCATCTCAAGACACTTAAGTATTTAATCATGAATACTTTCTAGAATATTCCCTGCTCCCTTTTACCTAGGAAGCTCCGTAGTAATGTGCTGCAAGGGAACAGGTACAGGCTCTGTCTTGACCCTAGTGCAGAAACCAGCCTCAGAGCCCAGCTGTCCCTGCAGCAATAGCCAGGGAAACTGAGCAAGGTAGTCCAAGAGAGATTCCTTCTACCTCTAAGCCCCCACTTTACTACTGCAGTATCATGAAGGAATCAGGAGGTCATGGAAACATGGGGGCTTCCCACAGGCTTTGTATACCAGCTTTGCACATTCTGCTGCCTAAGGAGTCTGCTGTGGGCAAACATGTGTGTAGAAAGGGGAAGAAAGAGAGGACTGTGGCCAAATGGCAGCGTTGCTCTCTCCCACAGCTTCAAAAAGATGCTATGACAAGCAAAACTTACCCCATGGGTAGGGTCAAGAAGCCTCAAAATCAGAAAACACAATGGCACAAAAATCACCTCGCCTCCCCACTCCTTAACACACCATGTGCTGGCACGGACAACAGGAGAAGTAAGAACATGGCCTTGAGCTGTGCAGGCATAAATTAATGGCCCATGTAGGCTTCTGAACCCAGAGTCCCCCACCCTTCTTGCCTCTCAAAGCCCTATCACTCACCTGTGTCTCCCCAGCCCGAGATGATGCAGGCTTGCCTGTTGATGTCAGACTTCTCTTTCCTGCTGGGCAGGCAGACAGGCAGAACATGGCGATTGAATGAGAGGCAGTGCCCCTCTCTGCCCCGCATCCGGACCAGGGCAATGTCATTGTCATTGCTGCCAGCCCAGTAGTTCCTGTGGAGGACAATCTGATCCACAGGCAGTTCCCTCTCAAACTCATCCTTCACACCTGTGTGGTAATCGCCCACCCGCAGCAGGTAGCGCCGCACATCGACACCAAACCTGGAAAAAGAGAGAATCAAGATCTTGATGCTCCTACTAAGAGGGAAACAGACTCACACAAGCCTCAGTTGCCATGAGACTGAACCACTTCTTCACAAACTGATAAAATAGTGCCAGCTACAGGACTGTGGGACCTCTTTAGAGGATGTGATAATGCCAGCTGTTACAGTCAATGGGTGTCCCAAATCACCGTTTACCATGCACAGGACTTTTTCCTATAAAAAGGGCTACAACAGTTGGAACAGGCTTGTAATCTTATCTGTTCACAGCTCCTTAAAGCACTGAAGAATGGCAAAACGCTAGTTCCCTTTAAGTGGTAAAGCCTCAAAGTTAAGAGGGCAGATGTAAGCAGTGAAGGATAAATCAAGTCTATATTGAGTCATCCCCATAAGTGCTCCAAGATCACACACATCATAATCTGAAGGTCTTGGTTTAGAAACTTTGCTCATGTGATTCTACCGGGCTAGGAGGATAACCTTGTATGAGGTTATCTTGTTCATTGCTGAGTATCCCTTGGGGCTCTCCGCGTGCAAACACACCTTTTGAAGCAGTGGGCTGCAGTCACTACCCAGCAGCTGCTGATCAGCGTTGCTCCGCACAGCAGACGAGTATCTTGATGAAAACCCTTCAACCGTAGTGACGCCTGCCACGGCCAACCGCCTCTGAAGAAGAAACAGAGAAATTATAGGTATCACACACATGGGAGCTGTTCTCCTCTTTTCGCATCCACTCTGCCCCATCTGGACTCAGCTGGTGTGCATTCTTCCCCAGATAGGCCCACTGGTTCAAATCAATTTCAAAAATCACCAGTGAAAATGTGTTAATATACTCAGCATTTTCCAGGCTATTTCCAGAGCCTGTAGGAAAGCTGGAACCAGTTCTGAATTTCCTGGCAATTACAGGGTAGTACCTGAGAGACTTGTTTCCACCTATGATCCTTTTCTTGCGACGGTGAAGTAGGCGCATCCCACACACACCAGACTCTGGACCTGCACAGCAAAGTTAGAGCAGTTGGGTAGATACCTTCAGCTTAAAGTATCAACAATTGCTGTCAAAGAGCCAAATACCATTTGCCTTCCCTGAGGGCATTAATCCCCATGGTAGTTGACCACATTGTGTTGTACATATGGAATTCACAGAAGTTTTGATCCCATAGGTTTCCTCAGTTTTGGTGGAGGTGTTTACCTGCAGTATCTGGTCTTATGCCAGGAATGGGAGCTCTACAGCTATTTCCTCAGTACTCTAAAACCCAAAGTGTGCTCATGGTTGCTGTTCTAATGAAGGGTTCGATGACTTGGCTGTGGAGAAATTCTGCATGCTCAAAGGCCTGACATAGGTGGAGCACCTCACACTAGTCTGGAGCACCCTGTGCTCCTAAGAAGAGACAATGAAAACAAGGAAAAGGTAGGAGGTGCAGGACAGGACATGCTTATTTTGTAGGTAAAGTTTCAGCCAAAGAGAAGAACTACAGGGAAAAAGCATATAGGCATGCAGAGATCTTACAACTGGAGGTCCAGATTTCTGCACAGAAGTGGGCACGTCACCTGTTCTCCTGAGGTCTTGGACCTTCTCTTCAACATAGTCACAGATGACACCAGCATCCTCACTGTGCCAGCAGCTGTGAATCCCGGTGTCAGACCTGACACATTGCCCCAGGGTGTGCTCCGTGCCACTGCATTCTACGTTGTCCAGATGGATGGGCCCATGGCCTTCGCCAAAATAAGCCATTGCCCTGGCTTTTGCTGTACCACTGCAATTAGAGAGAAGGTGGCTAATCTGAAGTAAACAGGAGGCAGGTGAGTCTGATGCACTAGCACATTTTAAGAGAAATAATATTTATGTGTCACTCCACACACAGACAGTAGTACAGTGAGAATAGGACCCTACTCTCTCAAACACATGTGGGTATGCCAAAACTAAGAAACAAAGCCCCCAGAAATAGGTCCAGAAAGAATCTATTCCCAAGAGCTGTTTTTATCTGTAAAATGCATGTACCAGAGCTCTTACCTGAATCCCAGTTGCCTGCAAACCACTGCAGCGTCTCTGTCTGTCCAGCCATCATCACAGACACTGCCCCACTGCCCATTCAGGAATACCTCAACCCGTCCCTCCTTGGTGCTTTCTCCATCCACCAGCCGCACAGGAGGCCCTGCAGGAGCAAACATGAGTCACTGCAAGCAAAAACTCTGGAGTGTGAGGAGCCCAGAACTTGGGTTTTATAGGGAAAGATGAATCCCAGATATCAGTAAGCTTGAAACAAAAGAAAAAAGAAAAAACTAGAGTGTTTTAATATGAAGACATTTCACCTCTGTGCTGAATCAGAAGATTATATACATATTAATTTATTTAATGCATACAGGAAATCATTAGTGGATCATATTATGAAAACTGAGTTAAGAGGAGGACAAGAACAGAAGGAAAGTTATTAACTCCTGAGCCAAGAGTGGACAAGCTTAAACATGCCTGGGAAAGAAACCCATTAAATTATAAAACTACTATATTATTCTAAGCAACAGAGGAGTTCTACATCCAGGAAAAACAAAAATGTTGGATGTTATCTATTTCAGTAAAAAATGTTTGACAAACTGGAAAGCCTCCTGTAGTAGGGAAGGGGGAAGAGTATCAGGCCTCATACAAATGAGGAAATTATGCTAACTTGAAATACATTCACAATTTTGATTAAAAGTGTGCCATCCACACAAGACAGTGCAAATTTCTACACAACAGCCCCTCACATCTGAAGTCCTATTGTCTTGGTGAGGTGTGACACTAACGTAACTACACCAGTTTCCTACAGGGCCTAGTTAAAGAGCTCCCGTGTTCCCACAAACATGGGGCTGCGGCATCTCATCAGTGAGCAGTGAAACACTAAGGCAGCCACCATTCCTCAGCCCCTCAGGTTTGTTTTAGAGACTGCTAACACAATTCTCCCCAGTTTCAGTTTCTCTGCAGGTCTGGCCATAGGTCTGGTGGAGCCACAGCTCTTCGGCTCTGCCCCAAAACAGCCAGGGCTCATTCCTAGGGGGAGTCCTCAAAAAGCAGCCCCCTCACTGAAACAGCACAGGGAGAACTCCCACATCAGCAAGACCTTCCAAAGGAACAGACCAGCAGGTGACACTTCCCCGTCGTCCAGGGCAAGAGGCAAGGCAAGTTACCCAGGCTGCCATCCATGACTGTGTTGCTCTCCGGGGAACAGTGGACTCCCACATCCTCAGCATGTGAGCAGTCATGCTGCCCCCAGTTGCTGTGGGGACAGTCCAGGAGGGACAGCTCTGTCCCCACACAAGCCACATCATCCAGTAAGATAAAGCCTTGGCCAGCAGCATAGTCCCCTTCAGAGGCCAGGGTAGCAGGACCACTAGAGGAAGGAAACAGAACATAATACCAGATGCATTAAAACTCATTAATTCAACAGAGGGACTCAAGCTCAGACCCAGAGGGAAGCTCTTCTGCCAACCTCAACTGTGATATCAGTGGCCTCCTGACCTAAACTGCTCAGTGACACACAGGATGGCAACCAAGCAGCTTGTATATCTCACAAGCTTCAGTTTTCGGGGAAGCACTCTCAGACCAGTCCATTTTCTAGTGTCTGGTCAAAGGCAGTCATAGTAGCACAGAAGGCCAGCTATACCACAGAGGCTGCTTTGCAGACGTGACACCAGGTACATCAGTTCGGGGAGGGAATAGCAGAGGAGGCATCAGAAATATCAACATTAAAGTAATTCTACTTCTTTTTATAGGAAGCAGCTACCTGGAATCGAACTGCAGAAAGCTGCAAACTTTTAGGTACTACAAGAGATGACAAATACAGCATGCATCTGAACTCAAAGGGAAGACTTTAGTTTAGTCTTTTTTCAGTCTATAAAGTTGAAATTTTGCAAGGATACCCTAATCATATTTAAAAATCCCTCCAAGTCCCCCACCCCTTACTGGCTCCAAAATTACAGTATCCTAATTTTAAATATTCCCCAAATTCATACCTGGAGGAGCTATTCAACAATGGGCTGAAAGAAAAGCATTACAAAAATCCCTAATACTACTCTTTTTTTTTTCCCCAATGGTCTTCGTTCAATTACTGAAGCAGGTGATATGCTTAGCTGACAGAGTAGATGGGTGATATCATTTAGCTGACAGAGCAGAAGGAGTGTCAGTGCTGAGCTGATACACCTGCAGATTTAAGGAATGTTAAAGAGAACTTTCTGAATTTGGTGAGGGGTTCATAAAGACAGCATCAAGCCTGTTATCGGCTTTCAAAACAGACCAAGGCAAGAGATAATGAAGATTTAGATTTTTTTCCCCTTGGAAAGGATGCAGATGCCTATTAATCCTTCTGGAATAAAGTTGTATAATGGTAATAACCCCTCTAACAAAGACAGCATTGAAGCATTAAGGTCCAGCCTATCCCAGCAAAGGGTGATGGTATCTAATCCTTGAAATTAGGAAGCACAGACACTACACACACTCTCAGTCCTACCTGAAGCCCAGCTGCCTGCAGACCACCTGGGCACCGAGATCTGTCCAGCCATCATCACACACTGTGCCCCAGTCTCCATTGTAATAAACTTCTACCCTGCCTTCACTGGGGCTGCGGCCACCAGCCAGCCTGACAGTGCCCTCTGCAAAGGATGGGAGAAGAAAAGGTGAGCAATCAGCACGGGATTAAAAAAACAGCCTGTGTCCCACTGCTGAAGTCTCTGTACAGCCCATGAGTGAAAGAAACCAAAACCACAGGTATCTGTGGGTACTCAAAAATCAAACATTCATTGCTCCCAAACATGCCCATCTGTCAAGAAAGGATTCACCTCAGCCTTTCCATGCCACCTGTGGGAAGCCATGGGAAAACCACGAGTACTCCAGTACAGTCCCACCTGCTGCTTGCTTTCTGCCTCCACATCTGGCAGCCCTTGTGGGAGCCATGTGTAGGAGCCCTGCAGGATCTTCAAACAGGGGGGTTATCTGCTGAGCAAGCCATGTAATATGGGAGTAAGACCATCCACACTTGACTGGCATAGAGCTGTAGATCCATACCTGTGAAAGGGTCACAGGAGACCCCGGCATCTTCAATGTGGTCACAGTTTTGCTGTCCCCAGTCACTCTTCTTGCACTGGTCAAGTGAGAGTTCATTGCCTGAGCACTCCACTTCATCCAGCAGGATTGGGCCAGATCCCTGCCCATAGTGAGCCCACGACAAGGCTTTCGGGTTCCCACTGCAAACATTACAGACACATATGCTCAGTAAGGAAGGTCAGTCTTGTGCCCTCAGATTCTGCCTTGCACAGGGACTCTCATACGCTAGGTCAGTGTCCTCCCATAGATAATGTGTATTTCTGACATAGTGGTGTTGCCAAGTGTTAACTGAAATATGTTATTGGAGAGTTTTGTAATGAGACCTTCCAACAGGTAACAAAAATCTGTCTGCAACATGAACAGTTCAGATGGCTTGGGAGTTCTGAGGACAATGATGCTTCAATCTTAGTAACAGGCAAAACTCCCAAAGTTTGAGGGATCTCAAACTTGGATTGTCTATTTTAAACAGTTCTGTACTGATATGATTTTCAAGAATGATCAGCATAAAACAGCTCCCATGTTAAGGGCTGAATGGCACACAGGAGAATGAGGTGCTCTCTCTTGCTTTCCCATCTGAAGAGGATAAGGGCAGTCAGTGAAACTGGGGGTGTTTAAACTTAACCAAGTAAGCAACTGCAGTTCATATACAGAAATCACCATGACAAGTTATCACTGGGGCCAAGAAGATTTGCATTAGGACCTGTGTGCAAAAATAATGAACAGGGATAAACATAAACAAACCTTACATAGGGATGCACCAACTCTTTATTTGTTTTCATAGCATAAACCCATAAAACTGACAGGAATTATGTACAAAATTCCTTTATAAGATTATCACTCCAGAATTATCTTTCCCAGGGCTTCTCTGTACCTCCTATAGAAAGGGCTGTTACTAGAGTGACGGGACATGCTCTCACATTCTTTATTCTGCCTACTTCTGTTACCACTCCATGATGTACAGTGGGGAAATTACCTGAGTCCCAGCTGCCTACAGACTACTTCAGCATCCCGGTCGTCCCACTGGTCATCACAAATGGTACCCCATTTGCCATCATGGTAAACCTCCACTCGCCCTTCAAAGCTCTCCTTTCCCCCAGCTAAACGCAGCGGGGCACCTACACCTGTGCTTCAAGAAAGGGAAAGAGAGCACAACAGAACAAGACAGAGACGAATCACATCCTGCAGTTCAGCATGTAGAACCATTCACCAGCCAGAAGAGCTCTTGGGATGCTCTTGTCCCAGCCTACCACATTCTCCCCTCTAGAACCCCCAGAAGTATCCATGATTGCAGGCCACAGTACAGGGTACTGCTGGTCCAGGGATGGCTCTTTACCTGGCTGCTACGGTGACTAGGACTTTCCTGCCTGCAGACAAAAACCTGGTTTGATAAAAAGGGGATGTGGTCCTCAGCAACAGCCATCTATCAGTGATTGTAGAAGTATGCCCACTGAGTATTTGGGATTGGGAAAGAATGGATAATTTTTCACTGAAAGGAAGATAACCACCTGTATATCAGGTGAAAGAAGAACATGCTCCAATGATTTGCTCTCCACAGCTTCACAACATTAGATTTTACATCTTATCAGCAACACTGATGCAAGAAACACAGAGTGAACCTCCCCTGGAGATTTACCTTCTGGAGGGACACAGGTTACCACAGCGCTTCCCTGGTTACAAGCTCCTGGAATAGCTTCCTGATAGCCACATTGCAGCAGGGCTTCCTCATCCCCATGGCAGTTTGCTGACTGCAGGTGCAGGGGAACAGGCCACGGTCCAGGATGATTCTTCTTCCCAGCTGTTCCGATCTCGCTGGTACAGAGAATGTGACAGAATGATGAAATGCTGTAGCACTGGTTGACTTACAAGTTACCGACAGCTCTTGTGATTCTCTAGTCCAATTGTGCCATTTGACATCCCAGTGATCCCAGTTGATTAGGAGTGCATAAAGGGTGGCCATTTACAGTCCAATGGGAAAGTACAAGCAAGTGCAAAGCAATCCCCACCACCTAATCCATTTTGTGTTCCTACTTACTGCAGAGGAGTTGGTCTGGTCAGAAATGGCACACTTGTTTGAGAGTGATGAACAAACCCATCATCAGATTCAAACATCCAAATATTACCTTCTTCCTTCTCTGTGGACCTTATTTCCTTGCTATTTGGAAGTTTGAAATTCCAAACCCCAGATTCCCAAAGAGTGCTCACACTGTCAAAATTTCTATTAGATCACTACAGTAACTCCAGCTGGTAATACTAAAAAAGGGATACGATCTCACAGCTCACTCATCACAGTTGGGAGCCCCATGCAGAAACTACTGGTTTAAAAAATTCTTGCAAATGCTGACTGAGGTTGGGCGTAGCCATGGAAAGAAAACAGTACGAGAGGATACTGGTAAGTGGGAAATGAGCCCACAAAACTAACTCCTCTCCTCCAGCCAACACTCTATGCCAGGGGGCCTGTAACCATAGAGGCTGTTCTTTCAAAGGCCACATGAGCATCTAACTCTTGCAACCAGGCTAAGGTTCTCACCTGAGACCTAGTTGCCTGCAGACAACACTGGCATCCCAGTCAGTCCAGTGGTCAGCACAGATGGTGCCCCAGAGTCCACTGAAGTACAGCTCCACACTACTATCTTCAGCCAACCGCACAGCACCTTCCAGAAGAGAAAAAAAAAAAAAAAGAAAAGGCTGCTATCTTCTGATGGAGGTTTCAGACCAGCAATTGTTGGACTTGCATGTAGCTGAGCTGAGCTGCACTTGGATTCTCTCATCCCTGTTTAGCTGGTGCTGTCACTGAAGTGACTTGTATGAAGGAGTGCCAGACGTGGCACCTTCCTGGTTCCAGCAGTGGCTGCTGGGGAGGATAGCTGGTGCTATGTTCTTTTTAAAGCCATGGTAATATCATCAGGAAACTTGGCTTCTACCACAGCTCCTGGATTCTCCTTCTGTGAAATGGGGATGATTTTACATACTACCTTGAAAAGGGTCATAGGAATGACAGGTTCTCTAATTCCTTCTGACGCTCCACTGATTTATTTTCCATCAACCACCTCACCTATGAGTCACTGTTGCTACAGCTACAGGTTCAGTAATAGCGGGTGAATCCTCTTTAATTCCTCTAAGAAAAGCAAGTGCTAAGGTAAATGCCCTTTCAATTCCCACTGCACTACAAATATCTACCACTGTTTAGAAAGGGCATCTCCTTGCTCAGTTTTGTATTGGGAGAAGGAAACATCTGCTGTCTGTAGTACCTCAGTGCAGGCACACAGCACCCCTACACTTGTGTCCTTCACTGTATTGAAGCCATCTTTGAAAGCACTTCCACTGGCAAGGGAAAAGACTTTGTCATTTAATTTATTAAACTGGTACTCCAACTGTTTTGCAAAATGTGGGAAAAGAAATGAAGGTCAGAAAACAGGAAGACAAACAAAACATTTTCAAGAATGCTGTGCTGGAGTCAGTGCCTTGAGCGCTCAGCTCCCTTGCATGCCTCAAAGTAAGCAGCAGTCCTTGTGTCAGCACTGTGAGGAATTTTAAAGCAAGTCTATGACCTTCCTTGCCACAGAAGATCTTTCCTTGTTATGTTTGAACTGCTACACTTACACAAGGAGAGCTCTGATGTGGACACTTAAGGAGCAGGAGTGGATTGTTTTCCACATAACTTCAACTGTTTTCAAAGTGGCATAAGTTAACAGTAAAAAAAAAAAAAAAAAAAGTCTCCTTGTATGAGAAGAAAAACATCTATACAAGGCATTATGGCTACAGCAGCTTAAATCCACCCCCTACTATATACAGACGTTCTTCTCCCACACAGGCTAGACTCTGGTCCTAATTATTTTGACATTTTGGGACAGCTATTGTACTGTGCTTCTTTCACAGGGTGTCCCACCTGCTGCTTGCAAGTCTACACAGCATATATTTCTGGCCCCCCAAGACAGCACAGCCTGGGCGCTGGCGGAGACACTCAACAGCCCTTACCTTGGTTGCAGTCGCAGTTAGCCCAACCAATGGCCCCCGATACAAGCCGGTAGAAGCACCAGGGTGTAGTTCCCCCATCTGGGTTCCTGCAGTGGTTGTGGTCCCCCAAGCCACGGTCTGGGTACTGCTGAACGTAATCGGGGAACTCTGCCCAGCTGAGGCACACTGCCCCGGCCTCAGTGACCGCCAGTGAGCCATTGTAATACCCAAGAGGTCCGACACCACACACGCTGGATGCTGGGTACAGGGAGGGAGTTGTTAGCTTAAGGCATCACACACCGAGGCTCAGACAATGTGGGAGATACCAGCTGATCTCCCAGAACACCTCCTGTGTCTGCAGTCTTGATTGCTACTTGCTTGATTTCAATTCTAGCACTCTTCAAGGCAGCTGCTCAAAGAATGTTTATAATATGCACTATCTAAAAACCAAATTGATTTGCAAGTCATGAACTGCCCGGGCAGACCTTTGAAATGTGTTAACTCTGGGCCCAGACATGGACAATTTGAACCAGTTCCCATTACTGTTTATTTCAATAGGTGTATTCACTTTGGAGCAGCACTTGACCTGGCACACACTCATCCACTTCCTTCTCCACCTGCTTTGGCACCTGAATGATATACTCTTAAATGTGATCCTAGGTTCTTTAGAAGATTAATTGCCTGTCTAAATTGATTGAAACTAAGAAGAGTTTAAAATTAGCTATAATTTCATTCTGCACAGCAGGAAGGTAAGAAATTACATTGTATGTATGTTCCCTATACACATTAGCATATCACCTGGCTTATCTGAATTTGGGCAATGTATTGGAAGGGAAAGGGAACCTATTTTGAGGGAAAGTGCAGGTCCCAATATTCCAGGCCAGCGCGCATGTGAAATATCTCATGCAAAGAAACCCCAACAATTAATTTAATATGGTCTTTAACAAAGAAGAAAACTCTCCATTCATGACCCTGAAATAAGAAAGAGGGAAACAAGAACCAGGTTCACCGTGAGGGTGGGCTTTTTAGAGTCCGTAACATGGGAAGAGCAGACTCGGAAAGGGATAACAGTTATAGCTCTATTCACTGAATAAACAAAAAGAAGCCAACACTTTCAGAAAACCCTTCTATCGTAAAGATGTGTAGGGCAAACAGCTAGGGTACAAAGAAACCATGCACTCTGCATCAACTGAGACCCTCAGAGGGGGGTGTATGAGAATTCAGTAGTTATTAGAGGGAAGGAAAGTTGAACATGCAAAAAAAGACTGAGGCAGAGAAAGAGATGAAAGGAAAAGAACACGTGGGAGGAGTAGGGAACTGCAAAAGTGTTAGACATGCAGAAAAGAAAGTGGTCTGGCCATTTTGGGGAAGGAGAGAAACAAATATTGAGGCAGTAGAAAAGACTGAAGAAGTAATGGAAAGAAAGGAAGAGCGCCAGGTAGCAGTGGTTCATCGTACCAATGGTCTCAGATCACCACTGCAGGAAAGAATGTGCCTGATGACTGAATTAATAACTTCGTGTTCTTACCTGCACTCTGAAAATGGTTTTGGTTGGGCTGGGATCCCAAGAAAGCCTGGGAAAAGAAACAGAGCAAAAGCAGAGAGATGATTATCCGATGAAATAAACACGGGCATGTCCTAAAAGCAGCTCAGGCTTTTGCTGCTTTAGGCAAACACACCCTAGTAACGAGACTTGTCCCCACTCTCCCCATTGCTCCTCTTCAAATCCAATCACAGCTCTGCCCACTAACAGCAAAATGAGTAATTACTGGCCTGCAGAGATTTACCCTTGATCTAAGCGCTACATTACAGGGCTCTGCTTGTTCTTTTTCAATAGAATTGGAAGACTGAGTGAGATGCCTATGGAAAGAAAAGCTAGAAGAAAATCATTGTTGCCAGTAAGAAAAATAATGAATAACCACTCATTCTCTCTCCATTTATAGGGCAAGCCATCTATGGCCACGGCGGCAGAGATATTTCTACATGGTGGGATGATGCCCCCAGGGATCCCTGTTAAAATAGTAATAAAAATCCATGCACAAAGTGGGGAACACCTAAAGAAAAAAATCCAACAAGGCTTTTTGAGGATTTGGGTTTTAATACATGACAATACAATATGGCCTATGGTATTATTATCTAAATGGGGTTAAATAGCTAAGAACAAAAAATATGAAACAAAGCCCTCAGAATTACAGCATCCTGTCTGGCCCCAAAACTGTATTTCCTCTTATAGGCAGTGGTTTTGGTGGTTATAACTTGACTGCTGACTGAGAGATAGGGATCTTCACTCAACACCATTACATGGCATGCAGGCAGGTGCAAGATCTTCACAGATCCAGAGCAAAAGGAAGAAACTGTACATGCTTCTGCTATCTCCTTGTAGTTTAATTCTTTTTCTAAATACTTTTTAATGAACATTGCTAATACTTTTATATGAACAAAGAGTTGTAATTCACAGAACAGAGGTGTGCATATAAGGAACACTAGCTATTGGAAATGTTTTGTTTTGTTTTTTTTTTTTTTAAAAAAAATGCAGTAATTTTGCTTCCCTCAGCGTCACTTCTCCCTGGAAAAGGGGAAGAGTAAAATTTGGAATGAAACCAAATCCACCTCTGGAATAAGCAGGTAGTTCCCATAGATACCTGTTAAGAATGACATCTACTCACGGCAGATGTCATTTTCAAATCGAGGTTATGAATATGGTCCAGCAGGTGTTGACAACCATGACCAAGCTCCAGCATCACCCTCCCACAAGTCAGAATGTGACACTGCATATTGAAGATTAATTCCTGACATGGTTCAGAAACAGCAGATCAGATCTCAGGTGCATATGCACAAAGGGATGCACAGATAAAACAGCATTTAACTGAAAAACCCTTTTCAGGCAAAAATCCATCTAGCTGCATGTATCGGGCTGTTGCAAGCCCACATAATGGTCTGTGAATCAACAACGCTGAAGGACTTATCTGAGGATCTCAAAGCTCTTTGCAAAGAGAAGAAAGTGAGCTAAGCTACACTTTTGTGACTGCACCAAACAGGTGACTGAGACACAATCCAGGTACCCCAACTCCCAGCTTTTAAGTGTGCACCTGCACACACACATAAGCCTGCAGGTGACAGAGGGATAGGTTGCACTAAGAACAGGCTATATATGACAGCCTGAACCTGCTCTTCTTGGGGACAGACCAGAAACGAAAGAACTGCAGTCCAAGTAATACGCTTCCCTTCTAATGAAAGATTAGTTGCTGCCAGCTCCTATAGCAGCTTCCAAAATCCCCCAACACTGACCATCACCACCACCGAATTTTGGCGCAGACGGCCTGTGCTGCAGTCACTGCCCCGGGTCCATATGGCTGCAAATCATCTGTCCACAACAGCAATAGGGGTAATCGGTCAATCAGCAAAGAACAGAAACAAAGGGTCTCTCCTGCCAGGGTCACTGCGGCGCCTGAGAAACATCGGAAACCTGAGCCAAAGCATCTGCAAGCCCTTGTGCATCCTGCTTTATTTCCTTTTCTGAATTTCATATGGACAACAAAATAAATCCCTTCTCAAGCCCCTAGTCCTTCCCAGAGACCACAGCTGCCTAGATGCTTTGGAAAACATATTCAACTAATAACAAGATCCACTTACAGTGAGGATATTAAAAGAGCCATGTGACTTCTTACAAACAGACAGAAGAATAAGCATTTCTTACCTCCACGCATCTGAAGCAGGATAACAGACTCGAGAGCTCTACCAGGAGCCCAAGTACTTTGGGGACCTCCATCCCTCCTGTACGAAGTGGGCAGAAGCTTCTACAAGCATCACGTTCTCCCTCGCTCAGCGGCTACCTCCTCCCCGGGGCTCTGCAGCGGGTTTCCCCGGGAGCAGGGCACTAGCCGCTCCGCACCGGCGGGAGCGGGATACCTCTTCCATTTCTGTGCAGGGAAAGGGATGTAAGGGAAGGGGTCCAAGTCCCCAGCAGCATCTTAGAATTTCACTTTCCCCTTCCTCTCCCCACCTCTCCTCCTTGATTCTTCGCTTCGGAAACGGGAAAAAGAGGGGAGAGAAATGAGGGAGGAGAACGTGCCCCAGAATTTCTCTAGCACGCTTAACGACAGCCCGCTCCCGCCCCCCGTCCCCTGCCAGGCTCCCCCCGCGCCCCGGGGCCAGCGCCCGCCCCCCGGCCGGCCCGCCCGCGCTCCCCTCCCGCCCCGCCGCCGCCCCGTCCTCCTCCCCTCGGGGCACCGAGCCTACAGCTACGGCGGGAGCCGGGGCTGCGTCCCGCTGCCGAACCTCCGGCTGCACAACTGGCAAAGGAAACGGCTTGTGAGCGCACACTTGCCAGAGATTAGCCTTGTTGGAAGGAATCTGGACTTTATCCCCCCACCCCTGCCGCCTCGATGAGCTGCTCGCGGCTTCCCGAGGTCAAACTCTCCTCAGACTCGGACCCAGAAAATTTTATGTTAAGCAGCTTCCATATCTCCCGATGGAAAACCCACAGGTGGCACAGCCCTCTCCAGGGTGCATTCCCAATTTTCAGATGGGTGTTGCCTCCAGAGATCTTTTCCATCAAGTGTGTCTCCTTGACTTTGGGCTGCGAAGTTATTTTCACTCCGCTAACATGCTTTCCAGAGCACTGATCATTACTGTATTGCTATGAGCAATCCTATGGGATTTTTTAGTGTTTTCAGCTTACTGCTTATGAATTAGGGCTAGAGGCTACAATGAAAATTTTAAACAGTATTAAATCTAGGAAGGGAATTGGTCCTGACTGAACATTTGAAGCTGTTCAATCTTGGAAATATTTTCACACATTCCCTGTGCTGCTCCTCAGCTCAGTCTAATGTCCATTTCCTCTATGTCCTGATTTTGGAAGGATTAACTCCTGGTGTTCTGCAGCATGAAACATGAAGGTCACCTTAAGAAATGAGCTCATTTCTGGACAAGTCTGCTGAGCAGCATTTCCAGAGACACTTTCAGCATAAAAACAGGGAATGGGCTGATAAAAAAATCCATTGGCTTGACAAAAAGCCTCTTTTTTTCTTACCTCACATATTGCCCATTACTCACTTCACATGACAGTTTTGTGTTGCCTCATCCACAGTCACTCCTCAAATGCAAGGAAATTCCACAACATGCTGAATCTTTCACAGGAGTTGCTGAGTGGTAGAAGGGAGCCCTTTCTGGTGTGGATTTGCACCACTGTGCATCCTGAACAGAGTGCATTTGGCTAAGAGTTACACTCAGTTAATCAGGAGCAAATCTCCTATATCCTTGTAGCGAGGGAAGTAGATGATCAGAGGATGGAAAGAGCTTAGATGCTACAGCACACTAACTCTCAGGCAGCACTGGCAAAAAAAGAGCAAAAAGAAAATATGGGAATGTGTCAGAATCTTGAACACTTACTCCAGTGAAAACATGAGGAAAGTACATACTGGAGGCAGGAACAGAAAATCTAGCATTCAGAGAAACCTGCTCCTTAGTCAGGAGTAGAGAGGTTGTTGATGCCCCTTCAGAACTCCCGTAAGACACTCATCCATTTATCCCTCTGACACACACTAATAGGGCTTAAAACCTCTAGCAAAAGCCTGTGCTGGATTTCTCTCACAGTAGCTTGTAATTTGTTTCCCTCTCCAGGCAAGGCTTTCCTAGATAAAGCAATTTTAAAGAAAACACAGACCAGCGCACCAAAAGCAACAGAACTCCAAGTCTGGCATTCAGTTTCTGGAGGAATGACAAACTGTGCAAGGATGGAGGGTTTTACAGTTGTCTCCTCTGTGGCAGGTCCTCTTTTGGAACTATTTCCTTCTTGCTAAGACTCTTACTGGTTTTCTGGCACATGTAATGACGTTTTCTGGAGAAAGGTGGATCCCAGATTCTCAAAAGCTTTTCATGGTTACATAGCCCTCTCCAAGGTGGAGAAGAACAAGAAGGAAATTATACCAGTAGAACTCTGGCAGTTTACACAGGTCACATATCTAAAGATAAGGTAAAACAGATCTTGAACTTTGTGTGGGCAAGTTTTATATAGTTGTAAATATCCAAGTCCACTATTTAATACAGATCACCTTCTTACCCCAGTATAAGCACAGTTCTATGATAATAAGTCTGATTCCCTACAGAGTCTTTCTGTCTTGATTTTTCCAGATTATTCTGTATTGACCCTTCTAAACAAGAAGCACCATCTTCTAAAATGTTCTTGGCTCTCTGGAATTCAACCTGTTTTTCCTGAACTGGCAGGACTACTATTCATCAAAACCATCTGAAATATCAATGCTTCCTCCATAAGAGATCTTCAGTGAAAGCCTAAAAAGAAAGGCAGTTAATAACAATCATACCCAGAGCTGGTCTAATATTCAAGTTGTAAGGAACAGGAGTAAGATCAAGGAATTCCAGCAGATTTGCTTAAATCCTGTAAATCCGATTTAGGAGGGTAGAACAGCTAGTCAGCTTTTGTTTAATTCCTTCCCCACCACACAATCCCATACAGCTCTCTGCAGAAATGTTCTTAACTAGTGAGCTCAGCACCAGAGCCCAGTTTTCTTTTATTCCCCAGCAACAGCATCATGGGGTGGTAAAAGGCCTGAACTCCGAGAAGACACATGAACTATTAATGCAATGATCCCCAATATGAACATGTCACAGAACGTGTTTAAACACCCCATATAAGCTTAACAGCGAGACACGGGGAGATGGCAGCAACTCAAATTGCCAAGGACAATCAGGAAGTGGAGGTTTTTTTGGTTACAGCAGAGGATCTTGAGCCAAAAGAACTGCCAGAGCACTTTTAAAAGAAGCACTGTAAAACCTGGATGCATTTGAGAAGCATTCTCTTTCTTTCCTTCTTCCTCCAAATAAATGCATTCCTTTAAGTACTGGAAAACCTTAGCATAGGAATTTCAAGCTTACAGCAGACATGTAAAAGGTCAGAAAAAACCCCAAACAACCGAACTTGTGAAGCTCAATGTGAAGCAGTAAAATCCAAAAATAACTGTCCAGGTTAGTGGGAACTGTGACAAGTTTCAACAGTATGCAAAATACTGTAATACTCAAAACAGTATTAGCTTCTCTGTTATAGCCTTTCATACAATGAAACAATTCTTCACAGACACTAGAATTTGGGACATTTAGCACAGCTACTAACTTAAGAGGTACAAAACTATACTTATAAGTTTTAATACAAAGAAAGAAAAACCATCAACAGAAGTCAATTTAGAATTCATCAATTCCTCACTCCCAGCTTAGGTTGTCTCCGTCAGAAACAAAGAATCAGCACGTAGCTCTCCTTTTCAGAGAGCGTCTTTTGGACTGAAAATGCAAAATGCCATAGAACCAAACCTTTTTCCCAAACTTAGATGTGGACATCATGCTCTTACTGACATCAAGTCCTCTGAAAGAGCCAATTACGCTGTAATGGCAACAGAATGAGCTACCCTATGGGATAACCTGCTAATGAGACATTGTAACAGTTAAATGAAAATTGCTTCTGTAACTTGAAAGCATACACTCCACAAATATTTATGTGATGAACAGGTATTGGCCTGGGGCTCCAGAGATGTCAGCTCCAGCTCCATGCAAACTCTACAGTCACACGTTGGTTATCACTCAGTCTGTGAGTGCCTGACTCCCCTCCTACTCTGCTTTTTCTTTACGTCCCAAAGAATTAGTGATATAAATAGTCATATCATTAGTTCTGTGAGGCACTGCATTTTTCTTACCAGTTGGGTACTGGTCCTAAAACAACAGGGACCTGCCTGCACTTTTCTGGTACTACAGTGGAAAAAAAACAAAAAAAAACAAAAAAACCAAACTCACAACAAATCCAAACTAATAATTAATTACATGATTTCAGTATCAGTCCATGCTTGAATCTTCTCTCCTCTTGTTTTTTTTTTTAATCAAAACAATGTAAGATTTTGTTGTGGCTTATGAGGTGCCCAAGCCAAACAAGAGTCTTGCATTATTTTATTATAGTACAGACAATATAATGCATCTGACATGGCACCATATCTGTCCCACCTGCAAATTGGAAGGCCTAAAACACAAGCTTCTATGTTAAAGCTCTATTTGATCCTTACCAATGTATTGTGTATTAACGAGGTATTTTGCTGGAGATTCCTTCCTCACTCTACAGCTTTCTTGTACAGCAACAGGAATTTAAAAAATTTCAAGAGGAACCAGATCGTGTATACATACATTTAGGAGTACGAGTCATGAGATTACTATCACATTTTAAGTTGTCTCAATGTCTAGGTCTGAGCACTTTTTGATAGCAGCTCAGAATTTAGGCAGGAAGCTTATACATGAGGAAAAGTCACCCCCTAACTGTTAGGAAAGGCATTTACATGCATTCCTAGAAGATTTTATTTCATAGTGATGACCCAAGTCCACACTGTGGCTAGTTAAACAGCACACTGCAGAAATCCTATGACCACAAGACCCAAGAACTTCATGACCGAAGTCAGCTCATGGTGAAGGTGGGTGTTTTTCGCTCTGGAACCAAAGGTGTGGTCAAGATCCATACAGCAGTGCTGACAGATACCACCTGACATCAAACACTCACTCGAGTCTACTTTGTACTTTTTTGCCAAAGACTCCAAATTTAATTGCTTGTCCACAGTCCCTTTAGTAAACCACTTTATACATAACGCGTGATCTGAGGAAACCTTCTCAGGAGCTTGTTCACTTTGTTTGAAGTTAAGTTTCCCTTGGGTGACAGGGTGTCCACATTTTGATCCTTGCGCTCCTTCTGAAAGAGAAAAAGAAACCTCAAAATATTACCTCTGTTTATTTGCAGAGTTGATGCTCACCCCCAAAGACTACTAATTGTACTGAGATGTTTCTTTCAGAGGAATGCTATTTCTTTAAGGAACACTTACAATAGCTCTTGGCTCAATAATCACAAGGCTTTCAAAAGCTAATAACCTTTAAATGATGTAATTAATGACTGACATCTTGCAAAGATGATATTCTTCCATATTCTTAGTTAACAATATTATAAACTTATAGTAACAGTTCAGATTTTTTCTTCTTACTTTATGTTATCCAATTTGATTATTTGTAATCTAGCAAATAAATTGTAGACAATTTTTTATTTATGTCAAGCAGCAATAGTAAATGACTATTAAATGATGTTACTGCTACTGAAAAATATTGAAACCTGAAATCAGTGTAAGGAGAACCTTAGTACGTATACTTACCTTTAGTCTGCTTTTGAAACTGACTTGATTTCAAGTTTATCATATACCCAGAAACCCCTGATTTCCAAACAATATGAAATATATTTTTCAAGAAAATGTATAGCCTTCAAATAAAGTCTAAAAAAACTTCAAATTTTCAGAGAATCAAGAATAGCTGTAACTATCTCATGTACCCTGAAAATTCTGTTTGTTATGAGGATTACTGAAACCACTGGTTATTTCTCTACCACCTCATCTCCACTCTCACCCCTGCAAGCACAGAACTACTTACAGATTTATGCCAGATTGGAATTTGGGAATCCTAACTTACCACTCTCTCCCACTGTCTAGATAATGCAGGTATTGGATTGGTACCTGAGTCAGCTATTTCTTAATTTTATGAAACAGAGCAGCTGTGGAAACCTGCCTGCACTGTACACCTCCCCAGTTACAACATAATCCACATCTCACACCATACAAATCTGTTCTACTTAACAGTTCTAAAATGTACTCTCATTTAGAACTATCATATGGAACTATATATGGAGAAAAGCAATGACTGCAATTACTTCATTAGTGCTGAAGCTCTAGATATTAAAAACTGGAAGAAATCAAAAGAAGTGGCCTAGGTTAGGGTCAATTGACAGCAACTAAGCTCTACTTCAAGAGCCTGACAACACAAAAAGGACTGGATGTGACTGTTGTTTCATCCTTAGTTATAACTTACCTAACATCCACTTCCTTTCTACAGTCCTTTATTTAAATTCTAATTTAATTTTTGCACTGAAAAGGGAAGGACTGCATGTTTGATCGGTATCATCCTGCATCCCTCCTACAACTCAAAAGAGTAACAACAGCAATCAAACTGTTCAGAGAACATTATTACTGTTGGCACAGAAAAAAAGATTGGGGGCTTCCTCCTTCCCAGTACTAGCCTTGAAGAACACAAAAAAGGCCTTAATTACTTCTGCCTTTGCCACGCAGTCATGGAACATCCGGATCTCCTCGGCACAAGCTGTATCGTTGAACTCATTCTGTTTCCAGCAGGCCATCATTACTGACATCTCCGTAATGCACGTTGCCTCTAGAAGGAAAAGACACAACCAAAAATCTCAGGCGTTGGGGATGTCATGCTAACAGCCTCCACAGCGTATAAACCTCCAGAGAGAAGTTTAAGATGGGGTAAAGGCAGATGAGAAAAATCAACACTAAAGATCTCATCTTTGTGTTAGTGTAGAGAAGATGGTGCTCCTAGTGCAAATATTAGCACCATTGCGGCCACCTAACACTTGACTGAATTCTTAAAGTCAATGCTATGTTGAGGTGCAACGAAGTATTTTACATGTATGAATCACCTATGGAGCATCACAAGACACAAATTTAGGGTTGTTGTACGAGAAAATAATCTTTTTAAAAGAACCCGTGTGCTAACTCTATGGCACAAACCAGACCCCTTCCGCGCTGCTGCCCTGCAGAGCACAAGGCGCTTCAGGGCGTCAGCTCGACCCAGCCCTGGCACCACCGTGACCTTCCCCGGGGTAAAGCCGCCGGAGGGGACAGCGCCGGAGGGCCCACCCGCAGGGGCTGAGGGCCCCATCCCCGGCTGTTCCTCCCCGGGGAGGGGAGCACTCACCTCCCGCCTGCTCCCTGCGGTTCGCTACCTTGTTGCCCAGCACCAGCGGCCGGGTGGGGCGGATAACCGGGGGCCGCTTCTTCTGCCGCCACTGCCCGGAGACCCAGCGGGTGACCCAGGCCGGGTACACGGGCGCCGCCATCTTCTTTGCGTCAGGCCGCGCGGCGAGGCGGCCCGCAGCCCCGCCCCCCCGGCGGGCGCCTGCGCAGTGCCGGCGCCGGGAGCCCGGGGCCGCCCCTCGGAACGGCAAAGGGAGCCGCTGGTGGGGGGGCGGCCGGGAAAGCTGAGCGGCCTCTCGCCGTTTCAGTCTGAGGCGGAGCCACCCGGTAAACGCTCCAACAATTCGCATCCCGAAACTCCTTCCGCGGCGAACCTGACCGGTGACGGAGCGTACGCCCTTCAGCCGGAGCAGAGGAAAGCACGATTGTTTCCAGCGCTTCGAACGGAACGTCAGGCATCCTTTTGCATCAATCCGTTTCTTGGTGCTTGAAACTCAGCATCGCCTTCGCCCACAGCCCAAGATTCCAAGATACTGAAGCTGCTGCTTCTGAAAGGGTAGCGGTGTTCTCACGGCCTCGTGCCCAGCAGTGGAGAATCCCCCTGTTCCCAGAAGTGTCCATCCTAGTGTAGGATTTAAATCCCTGGAAGTCCTCAACTCATCTAGCTGATTCTGGAGCCCTTATGTTCCCAGGTGAAAATGGCAGGTCATACAGAAGGCACAGTAAAGTTTCAAGGGCTGGGGTACAAACAGATCTCTGCACAGCGTGAGGGACAAGGCAGATGTAGAGAACTGATGAGTTAGACATTGGACTGGGGACCTGAAGTGCTCAGCTGCTTGTCACGCAGTGGCCACAGAATGCGCCGTGTTATCAGGGCTCCTTCAGGCACCACCAGTTTTCCTTGTGCGCTGGAGGGCACAGGAATGTTGGAACCATTTTTTGCATAGCACATTGCTTCGGATAAATATATTCAACCACCTAGCAGCTACAGACATTAAAAAAAACCAAACCAAACCAAAACCAACACACTCCACTTGCCTCTGTTCAGTCAAGGAAGTGAATAAGACATTGGAAATTTTGTTACTCTGATTTAAACATTACCAGACCTATACCAGAATATTCTCAGTATCACTACTAGAATTTATTGCATCAGTATCAATACTAGAATTTGCTGCATCTGCAGATTTAATATATATTCTGCTATGTCTGATTCTGTAATTATTTTTGTGTTATTGCTAAAACAGTATTTTCTCAGAGTCCAATTTAAAGAATATGCTAATACATTTTCAAGTAAATGAAAGATTTCTTTTGTTCTCCTTTAGAAGCAAATTTCCATCTCTTTAGGTCCAAATTCAAACAGTTTGTCTGGAAGTTCTGAAATATTTTGTTAAGAGGGATGTTTCTCTGCTTCCATTTTTTCTGATGGATATGAGCTATTGTTCTAGCCTGTCTACTGGTAGAGAAGAAGAAAAACAAGCTGACACCTTCAAATTAGGCTAAATGACTTGCATCCTGCAGCTCTAGAAATCTTGCAAATTCAAGACAGGGAGATGAAGCATTTTTCAGTATTACAGTTCATGTGAGGTTCAGCTACTCTTGGTTTTGCCTCTTCTAGTTACCCCTACTGATACCCACTTTTCTCTGTTTCATTTGCCTGCTGAAATTACTAACTAGACTTGCACAAGAACAATAAAAAGGGAAGATGCAAATACTAGGACATGAGAGGAGTTGAACTGCACTCCCTGTAAATCAACCTCCCTTTTATCAAATTACATTAGCTAATGGTGGCAGCACCTTCGGGTACATTCACCTTCAAAAACTGCTCTCTCTTAAGTAATTCCAAGAAAAATGGGGGGGAGGATGAGAAAGAGAAAGGCAAGCTACACAAGGAGAATTGTAATAGCTTCCTGTCAGTTACTGCTGTCTGCATTATAATCTCTTTTTCTGGCATTCAGCCTGGGACTGGAGCATCAGCCTAAGAAATTCCAGAGCAGACAGAATAACGTACATGATGGTGTCTGCACACACCATACAGAGATGTCTGAAGCAAGACACAAACATTCATTTTAAGGGAGAACATGGAACTACAGAAGAGGTGTGTTACTCAGTGGGCAAGTCTCTCTATAGCCTGTATTTTGTACAGCTGATAGCACAGAGACACTCATGAATGAGACAGAAGTTTGGACTTTATAGGGACAGTCAGAAACCAAATTCCCTCAGTAGACTGACAAATGAACCCCACAGATGTTTCACTGTGAATCCTGAATGTACAACTATAAAGAACATGTAAAATTCTAACTGCATTTACAACTACTTTAGTTGGATCAACATAGTTAAAGCTGAATCCTAGCTTATGTTTGAGCTAGTCAGAACCAAAATGAACCACAGAGATTAAGCAATTAGTATTAGCTTTGAAAAGAATCTGTATCACAACTGGAATAAAGGCCAGTTGTGATGCCGCAGTAAATGCTATGCCACAATTAAAAACAATGCTAACAATGCTGTAATAAAATACACCCTTAAAATGCGATTGTTGTCTTAAATACCTCTTTAAGAGGTGAGAAATTACACCATGGGTCCTTCGCTTTCTGCAGTAACCATGTAAAACCTCCATACACTGCCTAAATAACAATTAGGGGATGAGGCTAAGAAACCAGTTGTATTAGGAGAAATGAAAAGAGTTGCTAGCCATGTCTTTCTGAACTCCTCGGATCCAGCTTTCAGGTAAATTCCAGTATATTCACCCAAGTTTATCCCAAATGCCCCAGTTCTTGTCATACAACTTCATAATGCCCTCACCTACCACAATTTATTCTCAGCTGTCTCACCCTGACTTCCTCAAATGCCAATTTAATTGGAGATGCTTTAAAAGTGAAGGCTCCTCCACTTTTAACTTTAGTACTTAAAGTTTTGCTAAGATTCTAGTTGGCTCAGACTTACTCCTGTCTGCTGAGCTATTGTTTTTGGACATTATTAGCACTTAATGCATTTATTATGACAAATACATTCATTAGCATAATGATAGATGCAATTTTTTTGATGTCACCCCCCCTGCCCCAACTCCAACGCTAGCCTACCTTATCCTGAGTTATCTCAATCAGATCAGCCGACCTGCATTATTCTGTCCACCTGACGAGTTTTGAGCTGCCATCCCTAATCCCTAACTCCCAGATCTACTCAAACCAGCCCATTTCCACTGCAAATTACCCAATGACTCCTTATTTGCTCAGAAATGCCACGAAGTGGATGCTCTGAATCTGCAGAACCATCTCTAGCTGAGACACGTCAGTGTTAGATGGGTCTCTTCTGCAGGAAAGAATGTATATAACAGCATACAAATTAAGACGCCGGTCATGTCAGAGCTCTGGAACAAATCCTGCAGCTCCATTCTTCTCCACCCTTCCTAATCCCTTTGCAGGGCCATGTATCTCTTACTGCCAGCTCCAAGACACTGAATCATATGAGAGGTGCAGTTGGTTAAAGCCTGACACAGGCTTTGACACAGTTGGTCATATCACTAAAAGGATTTCGTCTCTGATTAATTTCAACCTGTCAGTAGAGGTCTCTGGGCAGAATGAAGGAACCTGCCACACTGTATGTTCCCAATTAATATAACTTCTCAGAAGGTGCCTGGAGATCCATCAACAATCTTAATTAAATCCAATCAAATGGATGACTGCTACTTGTTAAGGGAGTGGCTCTCCTGGGATAATGGCTGAAGAGTGCATATGCAAGGATGGTAAGGAAGGCAGATGGCTGCTTGTCTAACATAGCAAAGCCTGTTTAAACAGTGATGTCCCCGATGACTGTGGTTTGATTCAATTTATCCTGTTCCCAGTCCTTTAGGAATTATTTGTTCTTCCATGCCAGTTCAAACTACCCTCTGCCAAAGCGCAAGAGGGGCATTTCAGCTGTAATTCTCCAGCTGCTGCACTCTGAAGACCATTTCCAAGAAAGAATCTCATTCTCCTTTCCCTCTAAACATACACATCCACTGTTGCTTGGCTATCATTCTACCTACTATCACAGAGGACCCAGAGGTCCTTCAGTCTGAAAATTACTACAGTGATAGAAATAAGACAATTCTTCTTCAGTTCTAGAAATTATCAATGTTAGGTATCAAATCAATATTCTCCAGTGAGGTTATATGCTTCATAGAAATTGCAGTCCTTGCTAAAGGACAGAAACACAGACTACTAATTCAGTATATAAAATACCCAGCTTCTTACTGAAAGAAATAGACAGCACCTGGTATCACAGTTTTGGCAGGAGAATAAGAACTTGTAGCTTGTCCAATGCAATGAACTGGATTGCTAGATTTTTAACCTTCTGTCAGATATTTGTGTCTCCTCTCTCACCTCTCAGAGGGCATAAAGTTATCCTAGCTTGTCAAGTCAACTCTGAGACATGGCATCAATAGAATCTACTAGTGTTTCATATGAGCAGTATTGAGGTGATACCTATTTTTAGAACATCAACGCTAGAGAATATAGCTACCCTGACGACTTTGAAATCCTCGCTCTAGTCACACACTAAAAAGGCAAAATGCCTGACAAGCAGTGAAGTGGCTCACACTAGTTAACAGAAGCCTGCCAAAGGGTTTACAGAGGCAATCTCTTTATCATCCTCAATATTTGATATCTTTGCTAAAATTCCTGATTAGTCTCAGTTTTGTGTTTTTATGAGTACAGGCACCTGCACTGTAAGAACTTGATTAAGAAAGATGTTGCATACACTGTTCAGTCTGAGTATCATATAAGCCTTCCAGTAGTCCTACCATGAGTGATGACATTCAGCCACCATCTAGCTGGTTTGGATTTAAAGCAGTGAAATGAGAAAGCCACTTAGCAGTCAAGAACAGAGATCTGAAACCTCTTCCCAAAATACTTATAGTTGATGTAGTGACCTTCCCCCTTGTCTCCATTCACATACTTGCATTAGTAGAAAGACAACTAGAACTGTAAATTGAATTCACTTTAGCTAATTTTGGCAGTAGTTTTTGGACATTATATAGCAATCCTCTCAAATGAGTTATTATGTAAATTAATTGCAAACTCTTTGAGCATATAAGACCAGCTTCTTCTCCTGACTCCTCCAAATAACAGGAGAGAGATGCAAGCAATGCCTTGGTGGTAGAACCATCTTTATTCAACATTTTGCAGTCCTTACTGTGCAGAGAAATGGATGTCATGAAGGTCATTCAGCAGCCTGGAACCAAATTGCAACCACAACTCTTCAGCCAGCTGGGAAGGATTCTCACCTCTTCTGCCCCTGAGGAGTTTGTCTGGCAGCTATACAAGTTATTCATACTACGCACTGGGAGAAATATTTCAGCCTTAATTCTTGCATACCATGTACAATAAGTGAAACACATTTAGTATATTAATATAGGCAACAAACACTGTTTGTAAATCATGGACATATTGTGACATACAGGAGACAATAAAGCTAGTATGATCTATTACTATAGAAAAAACTCTGCAGATACAAGAGGAACACAAGGTTTTGCTGAGCATCACAGCTGTGAAGAGTGGCAGCTGATACTCGTTACCTTTTGAGAAGTTTACCACCTGTAAGACTGTAAAAAATAGTTAAACCTAGGAAGACACGAAGAGCTCAGAAGACAAAGCTATTGAAACTGGCTCATGACTCTTAACTACAAACTAAGAGTTGTACTTTGAAAAACTCAGACAAAACCCATGGAATATCTGTGATAATGTTACTTTCATATCTGTGCTGCTTTCATACCTGTGTTAAGAAGGGGTATGGCAATCAGAAATACCCATGCCTGGCAACAGCCATGAGGCTCAAAGCAGCAGCCTTCTGCAGTACATACATACAGCAAAAAAGAAAAACCCAAAATAAAAAATAACCCTGTAGGACTAAAAAACCGTTGTTAACTGGTTACTGTAATATACTGAGAACAAATAATAAATAGTAGTGAAGGAATACTTGGTTGTGAACTAGCAAATTAATGGATCACGGTCCCAAGGAATAAGTTTTTATCTGGTTTGCCAGCTACTCTTAAGTTTGTACCACCGTATCTTCAATTCCATTGTCAGTTGACAATCATGCTCGTTTTGCTGAGTAGGAAGGCAAAGTGAGGCTTTAAGACATCACTAACCAAGAACTAAGCAGGTGCTATGATAGACGTGCTTGTACTGGTACTTCCTCCTGTTATTCCTGCAAGGACAATACGTTAAATGTAGCACCTCTAATTTTGGCAACAGCAGATGAATTATAACCAATACCTAGACTTGGTTATAAATACCACAATTCTAGAAAATCTACTTAAATTAGAGGAGAAAATAGCCAAAGCAGAAAGTGCTAGTACTTGGTTCTTACTTTTTATGTTTAGGACAAAAGCAAGACCACCATTTCTCCTTCTGACTGTCCCACCAAACACCTGAATAATAAAGGGGTTTGGGATACAGCTAATTAAGAGAACCATGCAGTCAAAGAAGACTGAATGATTTTCTATACAGAAACATGAAATGAAGAGTATCTGAAGTATCTGAAAGCATTAATTGAAACTATATTTAAATATCATTAAACTGTTCAACAGAAGTTGATATTCAGAAATAAAACAGCCTTAACTTGTTTTATCTTAATTTACTTCTCAAGTACTTCTCAATCCTGAGCACACATATGTGTAATCTTAATCTGAGTAATCCATTTCAACAGTTAATTCAGATATATTCATTTAGGCGTTCATGTCTCCTGAGTAACTGAAAAAAAGGAATGTAAACTGATGAATGCATTTTAGCTGAAGAACCATTTGTTACTATTATTACAGAAGATATATAAAAAAAGCAGTTTTCTACTAAAAAAATAATCAGGTGAGATCAGTGAATAGTGTGGGCGTTCACTAAATTTACAAGAATCTAGTGACAGTTATGGGTCTGAAGTGTCCTCTGTCAAGGTGTCCTGATTTTAACATTGCAATGTTGTTATAACACCTGAGAGACAAACATTGAGATGCATATCATGACCTACACTGATATTATACCTATAATACCATATCTATAACATTATGAATGGGAATTTGAGAAAAAAAAATAGATTAAGTGATCCATTCACAGCTAAGCAATAGGTAGTGTCTTAATTAGGGACAGAATGTAGATTTATTCCTGTTCTTAGCTTCTAACAGGCTTCAGACTTCCTGTATCAATGCATGAATTGCCTTACAAAATGAAATTATCCCAAGACTTTAGACTTTCATTACCAACATTCTGTCTTCATTACCAACATAGGCTTGGATAAACTCTGGCTATTTAGTCAATCCTTACTTCTGAAGAGGGAAGAGAAATAAAATACCATTATACCATTGGAGGACATCACTGCAGTGTGGCCATATTTGCCTGTACTCTTAAACCCATGATGCTTAAGTGAATTAGTCTCCCTCCAATGCGAGACCAATTATTTCAGGAAAGTACCCAACATGGTAGGGAACAGTGGACTTCATTTGTATATGTAAGAGATACAGGCTACGCAACAAGGAAGATCTATCCACATGTCATCACTTACTTTTAGGAACTCCAGTCACAGACCAGGATCGTACTGTGTTAAGATTTGGTAGAGATACAAAACATCTCAGTGCACCTGATTCTGAACACCCACTTCAGCACAGAAAGACTGCAAAGGTTGTATCCAAACTGCAGAGACCACTGGAAAGGCACCATCACTAATATGTATTTGTCTTTGCAGAAAGATGCAGATGCTCAAGAAGAACAAATCAAAGGCCTCTAAATTGCTAGCATTATGGATAACAAGAAATCAAAATTATAGCTGGGATTTCCAGATTTGATGGAAACTTAAAAGAACCAAATCATGCTAATTTTACTTTAGTTCTGCAAAATACCAGGTAATACACTTTCTGGTGTAAAATACTTTGTTGAAAGCTGTGAACTGAATAATCTAGTCTCTCATCCATTGTACATATCACGTGGTAAGTTAGCAAAAGAGGAAAATTAGGCAGAGAGTAAGTTATCTGCCCATCGCTATTCAGTTATCCTGAAAAGTAGAAGTATTTGAGAAAAGAGGAGAAGAGACTTTATTGCTACAATTTCGTAAGGCACAAGTGCTTTCCACACACATTTGTCTTTTGTAATTCCTTCACTGGAAAAACTATTTGATAGCAGCTAAAAGTATACATTAATGAGGAGAATAAGTGACTGATAAAATACTTAGAAAAAAATGATTAATATTTTGAAGATTAAAAAATCCCTGAAATAACTTAGGGCATTTGAGCAAGAGTCTGAAGAGGTGTTCCTCTGAGGTCATGTAAGCCACAAGGAAACTATACTAAATGCAAAAGGAGAGTAAATTCCTCTTTTGCCACATATGTTGACATCTGCAAGTCAGGAGTGGCTTCACACCACAGAGCTGAAATTCAAATCAAAGCAGTTGATAAGATCTTCACTGCTGAAATTCAATTGTAGGAGAAACTTGAAACTTACTCACTTCATACACCAGAAGAAATAGCCTCTGTGAGTCTTTTTCTTCTATTTCAAGGCAAACATTTGGAGCGAGGTAAGAACTCAGTCTCAACTTTCAATGCAATTTTCATATCAAGCTCTTACAAAGATGGGTCAGTGTTGCCTCGTCCTCTTGAGAAAAATCTCATGCATATAGTCCCAAAATCTTCCCTGATGCGACTCATTGCGATGAATCATAGTAGTGAGGGCCTCACCCTGATCGAGGCTTTGCCAATAATCCTGCAGCCACATCTCTTTCCAACTGAAACAAAAAAAGAGAAACCACCATAAACCATTAAAAAATCCAAATGAGTCTGCAGCTGTAATAGCACTGGAAACATTTTTTTTTCTTTCACCGAAGAGGAAAACAGGCCCAGAGATGGTCATAATGAAGTACATTGTTATCATGCCATTGTGCTCCAAGTCATTTAAAGAAATTTGCTATGAAAATTCTTTACAGAAAATTTAAGTTCACTATTAGCTTTACAACATTCTAGAAATATCAGCATGTGACTACCATGTTAACCAAAGACTAAATTATTAATTGTACAGAATTAAAACTTCTATTAAAATAAAGTCTAGCACAGAGTCCTTATATGATTTTGAGAGTTGCCTTCCATGTCTGATATGCACATAACAGCCTCAGAATCAATTTTTTTTTCCAGATAAACCATTTAACAATTAGACAGTGACAGCTACTCGTTGCAAACTAAGGTTATACGTGGCAGAGACAAAATAACCATTATATCCCTCAACCCTGACTCTATTCTTTATCTCCAGACTAGATGGTGGAGTATAGGCTTTCTCTTTTTCAATGCATACATTCTCAAACTTTTCAAAGCACAGACTACATCACTGAAACTTTCAGCAATTCCCTTCCCGTTCATGATCATGTGGACTACTACTCTCATTTGGGTTACATCAAGGTATGGCAATAATTTATTTATCTCTTCTCCATTATATCTGCTACCCAGCCACATAAACCCATCATAAATTTTGGAAAGGAGGACCAGACACGTTGCTCTTTTTAATCCGTCCATATGAGTTACCTAATACTTGTTAATTTACATACAGAGCTTTTTGCTTCTTTTCCCCCTCAATCACAGAAATAAGTACAATGCCTTCTGTGTTCACTCTATACACCATATATTAAAGCAAGAATGGCTGCATGGCCCAGAATCAGATCTCACCCATTACTCCAGGAAGACCAAAAGAATGTACGTGTCATAGATGCTTTCTTTGTAGAGCAGCACACAACTTGTATGCCATGATAATTAGTTTTCTGTGGTCAACAGCATCATCTATGGCAGGACAGTTCTGCAGTGTACACCAACAGAGGCCTCAAGATTAACCTTTTAACATAGATTACAATGTGAAGGATCATAGAGAGAGGCTTACTTCTGCAATTAAAAAAAAAAAAAAGTCTGCCCAAAGATTCCTTTGTAAAATGCAGCACTTGAATGTACCGTGAGATCACTTTGCTTACCAGCTAAATTAATTAACCTTTGTTCAAGGACTGCCAACATGAATTACTTTTTTTTTACAGCATTGAATAAAGGCATAACTTAGGAAAATGAGTATATTTGCATTAAATACTAGACACAAGACTAAGAGACAGTAAGTAACAGAAAAAATAAAATGTTTTCCAGTTGAACTCTACAGAAACAACTCTGAAAGGAATTCCAGTATCCAAGTGAAGACTTTCATCAAAAACATTAAATAAGAACACTTGGATATTTTTCATTTTACCTTGTTGTTATTGGCTTTTAAGAAAATAATTTCACTCTGATTCTGTAACTTGGAAAAAATTGGTACCCCAGGATGAACAGGACTGTATAAATATCCTGAAACTACCAACTACATACACCTGAAACGCATCTTTAATCCTGGCTGATTATTGGATTCTATTGCAAGAGACAGCTTACAGTGTACATTTGGCAAACCTGATATACTTTTAAGATGGTTTTCCTCTTGTCATAAATAAACTGTGACATTGATATAAAATGGCACTAGCAAAACCATGGTGGTTTCAAGATATTCCTTTATCAAAGGCACAACAGCCTCTCTTTTCTCATGCTACCGCAGATGAAAACTGTTTAGGTAACTGCAAAGGTATTGTTACTTAGTCTTTTTATAGTTCTCCACTCAAATGCCCCACTTTTAGAAAACGAATCCTTATCAGTGAAACAAACCAAACATTTCTCTTCACAAAGGTGAAAGTCCAAGAATAATTGGGGATTCCAGTTCCTACTAAATAGATATTCTGCTTATCACTAGCACTGTCACTCACTATTTTCTGTACAAAGCAGCCAAAAATTCAACAGATTATAGTGACTGATCCATACAAATGGTTGTTCTACAGCCTACCTTCTGAAGTTTGGGTGTGAAGCCCAGACATCCAAACACAAGTGAAGATACAAGCATAAGGATTTAGGAACCATGTCTCCACGCTTAGCTCTAAAGGACAGCAAGGTGAAGGTATAATAATGTGCTCCAGCTACATATACCTACACAGAGATTCTGATGCAACAGTTCTGTCAATTCAACACATTCATCACTCCTAAAAACAAATTACATGTGAGAATTAGGGTTACAGAGCAAGCAGATGCATAGGGTAACCATTTTGTAATTGGGTACTTGCTCTAAAAATACATAAACTCCAATTGCCTTTGTTTTTCTCTGAGTTCCAGAAGCCTCCAGAATCCCAAATCAAAGTTTAAGTTTATAGTCAGACTTTGTATGTTGTGTATATTCTATCACTTGTGACCCCACTAGGCCTGTGTCATTTTTCCACTCTGTTTTCTAAAGTAACAAAATACACAATTGACTGGCTCAGTAGACAGTTATCTAAACTGATCATACTGTTGACATAATATTACTGTCAAATTCTGACAAAATATGACCATGTGTAGTTAATGCTTTGGTGGCAATTTTATGCTACTGTCATACCACTTACAATTCTAAATAATCATGTTCTACTTTGGAGATAAAAACCAACGAAAGCTCAAATGCTTATGATACAGAAACCACTATATTTCACTGGAGATCCCCCTTGATCATGCTTTGGAAGGTACAGACACACATATTTTTAAAGTAAATAGCATACAATGTAGAATCTTCCCTGGTACAATTTTTCCAGACACATCTCATGTCTATAAACAGGGGAATAACATACTGTGGTTCAATGAGACACGGAAGCTTCTGTGGGATGCAACTGTAGCTTGGATTATGGGCCAACTGTTCAAAACTTGCTAATGACCACTGCACAGAATGATAGGAGTACCTGAGCTTGCAAGTATGGGGTATAGGCACCCATGCTGTGCCTTGAAAGGTATTTCTCTACTGCCATCTGCTGCTCAAGCAAAAGAAAATCTATGAAAAAGTAGAGAATGCTCTGATAGAGCAGGATACTGCATACCATGCTACAAGGGAAAAAAACACATTTTGCTATCAAGACTGAGAAGAGGTATTACTATGAAAAAATCTCCAATAAACCAATCAATCAACAGAAAACAAAGGATGATGGACCCCTTTTACTTATAAGCATAACTTTTCAATTAGTCAATATGAGAATTAATTGTACTGTGAAAAACACTTTTTAATTACAAGCTTCACAAGTTTTGTGAAATAGGTATTTCCTAAACAACCTGGATGACCTCAGGCTTATTTTCCTTTTTTAATTTCAGTTGGCCACTTGTGAAAGCATCTGAACATAGGACAAAGTAGTTCTCCACACCTACAAAATTCTTCATATTTTTTTGTGGATAGATAACATAATAAAAACTTTTTGAGAGCTTCATATCCACACAGGACTTAGTTCTGGGTTAGCATAATGGACTCTACATTTTCAACACACTGTTTCTTCTAATGTTTTAACACTCCTAAGCATTCAGTTCCTTAGTCTAGGAAATAATTAACAAAGCTGTAACCTAATATAAACTGGAATAGAGTATATTGACAGCTTCCTGCTGGACAGTGCATGAGATCTTCCCAACATTTTCAAAAAGTCGTTCATTTAATACTACAGTGGGACTGACATCAGAACACTGAAAGCTTTGGTGATAGCTATGAACAGAGACAGTATCTGCTAGGGTTGAGGGTTTATCTTTATGATGGCTAACTGATGACTTGCAGAAAGTGAATTGCATGTACTTGAGTAATTGCCTGAAAAGACAAAAATTGTTGCAGGTAACACAAAGAAGAATTACAAACAGGAGGATCCAAACACATTACACTAGTAATACACATTACAAAAAGTGTGCACATGGTTTATGAACCGCAAGGACCTGTCCTCCTAGCAGTTACAACTTCAAATACTGTCAATGGAAAAACTTAATGTTTGGGAACCCAAGCACTTACTTGTTTTATACCAACGCATGTATAAATACTAAGTAGACTATGGAAACAAAGCTTATTCTGCCTGTCAAAAACGGCTGCCTGGGGGTTGGTGGGGTTAGCTCCCTGCTGACAGACTTCAGAGTAGCTCTCAGGGGAGATGGCTAACAGAGGGCTACAGGCCTGGGAGATTCCAGCAACAGTAGCAATCCTTGTGCATAAAAGCAACAAGCAGCTACTCAAGCTATTCTCTGTCAGGAATGCTCCCTGTCCTAAATAAATGGGATGGAGCCCTTTAACACAAGCCAGAATTTTGTCACACAAAACAACAATAAGACTTGTAAAGTATTCTGCTCTGAAGTTAACAGGAGTTAACCAGGTCTGCACTGAACCGTGGCAAGCCCATTGTTAATGCACTACTTTGTAATAAGGCATAGAGCTGCTTTCACCCAAGGGCTACCAAGTGCTTTACCATCATGTACCGAAAAACATCCTCCCTCCAAAGAGGCTGAGACAGACAAAGGATAACAGCATTGCCCAATGTCACAGAGCATTTTAATAGAACATTATGGGTGTGTCACACTCCTCATACAACCACTAACCAACACCACCCCGTCCAAGCCTCTTTTTCAGCCTCAGTGTCAGACAATATTAGCAGAACTACCATACCACCCACAAAACACAATGTAAAGTACAACTGGAGATGTATTAAGAGAACCTTTAAATACAAAGCATTACTAAAAGTTACAGTTACAATTATTTGAAGCATTTTTTCCTTCAAAAAGCACAGTATCGGTACATCACCTGTCTCCTCCAGAGAGGTCTTCAACACTTCCAAACCCAGGGGCTGGCATAGGACATCCCATGTGCTTGAAGTGAGCTATGCGAGGTCTGGGAGCTGGAATTTTCCCATGTGACTTTTTGTGTTCCTGCTCCTCTTTGACCCGGGTGTTCTCCCTGTCACAGATGAAACACTCGAAGCCATTCAGGTAATTGGGCAGAGTCATGTCATTCACACCCCACTCCCGCCTTTTCAAGCTCTCTAGCAAGAACTGGTTTTTGATTCCACCAAGGCTTTTATACTCTAGATACTTCATATATTCCTCTCCATTCTTGTCCAGGAAATCAAGATACTTTGCCAGCTCTTGGGGGCTGTCAAAGTCATCTATAAGAATGATGGAGAGGTTGTTTGGCATCCAGTCCCGCACAGCTGGGGAGCCTCGGTATACTGGGACAGCACCCAAGTGCATTGGACGCCACAGCTTCTCTGTCATGTAGTCATCACATATGGCATTCTCCAAGGCCAGATGAAACTTGTACCTGGCGATAAAAGTCATAAATTCAGAATCTTCTGTAGTGGCTGTAGAAGTATCTCTCAGTCGCTCACTGGGAAGCTCACGGTTATGCAGGCATTTCCCATAGGAGTCAACCTAAAATAACAACCAGCATCTTTACAAAGTGATTTGTTTGTCTGGAGCTTGTTTTCAGAGCTCATAGTTCTTGTAAAATTCCTAACTTTGATCAGTTCCTAGCTACCTTAGTTTATGTTCACTTTCACTCCTTGTTCTTTCCCTTGTGACTATTCCTAGAGTCCCAGTTCCAACAGCTTTAGAGTGCTCAGTTTCAAAAGCAGCATAAACTGTGCTACAGGCTGAGGGGTGGGGGGGAGTACGCAGAAAGAAAGATGTCACCCAGAAATGTATTTATTACTGGATAAATCAGAAACTGAGAGGTAAGGAAGGGCATTCAACTCTATGTTAATTTAAAAGTAATCTTTCTACTTAACAGAGACCCAGTACTTTCCCAAACAGTTACTACACACAGTTCCTACCAGTCTCACCAGGCTAGCAAAAATTTTCCATTTCTTAAACTGAGAAAAATTGATGCAGGCAGCTAAAAGAATGTTGTCTAAAAATGAGAGACAATACACTTGATCTGGAATCTGCTTCATTCTTTAAGAATACGCAGTCATATTTTAAACATTCTTTTGTCTTGGCTTCACTACTGAGTATATGATGAACTTGTACTCATAATCACTTCAGTCATGATGAAGCATGACTAAAAGAAAGAGCGAAAATTACTAGGAAAAAATTAAAAACAGATGCTTTTTTTTTTTTTTTCCCTAATCTATCCCTCAGAACCTTTAAGAAAAAAAAGCAGTAAACTTTTTTATCTGCTTAAAAGAAACTACATTGTTTCAGTTTATGAAGCTACTCTGCATCAGCTGTGCCATAGCAGTACAAGCCACCACAGAAATAACATGGTCCTACAATGCAGATAAGGAGCAGATTCTCAAAACACGGCAACCTGTCCTTTTATTGCACATCTATACTTTCAAATGGGAGCAAGGCTTATAAATAGACAGCTTTCTTGTACATTAAGCTAGAGGTCCAGAGACTTCAGCGACTTCTAGCACATGGCCCACAAGCCCAAGCCTATTGAGGCTTAGCCCAACTTGCGACTGATCCCGAGTCTGGCCAACTCCACAACTAACAGCCACCCTCAGGCCTACCTACTGCCACGCCGTGTAGTCTAGACCACGCTTTGGGAAGGAATACAACTAGTGTTTCTGTCCAGCTTGTAGTTGGCATGCATCCCCTTACGATTCGTGTCTTGGCTAAGAAAAAGGACAAACAAACCCCATTAAAAAGGGGAGTGGAGGTAGAGGGGGGCAGCCAGGCGGACCCAGCTCCTACAGCAACACCACGGCGCAGCTTCCCCGCACACCCCACCTACCTGGATGTATTTCATGAGCTCCCGCACGTAACGGTCCCTATCTGAGGGGACATCGCAGTGGGATTGCATGTACAGCACCGGGGCATAGCCCTTCCGCCGCCACTCGTCCTTCTCGGCCAGGGGCACCGCCGCCCCCCGCAGGTACCCCACGCCGGGCAGCCACTGCAGCGTGAGGGGGTAGTCGGACTCCCGGCGGAAGGTGGCCGTGTAGTTGAAGAGCCGGATGCCGGGCAAGTGCGAGAGGAGGTAGTTGTTCATGGGGGACTCCTCGTGGAAGAGCGCCCAGGTCTGGTGGGGCAGGCGGGGCAGCGGCGCCTCGTAGGCCCTGAAGTCGGTGCCGTAGAAGATGAGGGCCTTGGTACGGCGGTGCCGGGCCACCCGCCGGCTCCGGGTGACGAGGCAGGAGCCGCGGGGGCAGTCGATCCGCTCCGTGTCTCCGGGGAAGTGCGGGAAGAGGCTTCCGCTCCACCACAGCAGGATGGGCAGCGCCTTGTTGCTCCGCGTGTCGTTGTTGCCGGGGCCCCGATACGACGCGGCGGCGACGAAGGCCGCGCCCGGCGGGACAGCACCCTGCGCCCACCCCTCCGCCCCGCACGGCTCCTCGGCGCCCGCCAGCCCGCCCGCCGCCACCGCCTCCTCCTCCTCTTCCTCCCGCCTCTCCGGCGGCCCGCCCGGCCCCGCCGCCCCCGGGCCCCCCGCCGCCAGCGCGGCCCCCGCGCCCCAGGCCAGCGCCAGCATCACCCAAAGGCAAGCGGGCCCCCGCCGCGCTGCGCGGCCCGGCCTACCGCCACCCATGCCCGCCGCCCCGGGCCCGGCCCGCCCCAGGAAGCGGCCGCGAGGGTCCCGCCCGCGGGCCGTGCTCCGTCACGGGGCGGCGGCGGCCGCGGGGACGCGGCGCGGCTGAGGGGGCGGGAGCGGGGCCGAGCCGGCCGTCCTGCCACCGCTGTCCCGCTCCGGGCCCTTCGTGCCCTCAAGGCAAATTAAAGGTGTGCGGCACGGAGGCGCGGCAGGGCCAGAGCAAGTGCCGCCCCAGAGAGGCGGCTCCTGGACAGCGCAAGGACGCCGCGCTCAGCTCCTGCTGAGGGCCAGGGAGTAAAGAGGAAACGCCTCTTAATAACAGAAATTTTGGGTTTTAAAATAGCTACAGCTCTCTTAAAACCGCTCTTCTGTACCAACCTTGAGTAACGCCTCTGGCATTAAAATAGTCGGTAACTGGGAAAGTGGTTGGACTAGGTTGTGAAAACCCAACAGAAGTATGCTAGAATTACCACTCAGTTACTGAATTGCTACACGCTTCCACTTCATTCCTTAAGAGATAACTTAATCCCAATCACAATACTGATAATACAGGCCATGGGTTAGTATGGACATGAGCAAAGAAGTAATCTCTATCTGTATAAGAAACATCTTAAAACATGGGAAGCTTTTTGCTTTGCAAAGTTACGTCTTGACACCGGTCAGTGCAGAATGACTACCACCCTCATGCCATCCACACCAGCCCCTCCACTTACATCCCGACAGAATGCTAACAGTCATGGGCTCTGCAAGGCCATTTCCACATGCATTGGAAGGGGTGCTGCCACAAAAATGCTCGCAAGCACAATTTACTCCACATCATTAATGTACAAGATGCACAAGGCCCATCATTATCGCAATAGATCAGGTCAGTAGCAGATTCTGGACATACTGTACATTCTGTAGGAAAGTAATCTCAGAAATATTCTACAGCAAACTAAGTATTGTTGGATATTTAGCAATGATCACCTTGTGCTTTCATACAGATTGTTGTAAGGTTATCAGCAAATTGTACAATATCACTGTTCAAGGCTAGTCAAGTTACACTGCCAGTTCACTCTGAACATTATTTTTGCAATTAGCAACCCCCCCCAACCCTCCAAAATAACCCAACAACAACAAGCCACACAGTTTTCCTATCTTAACTCTGAAATAGGAGCTCTATTTCTCTTAAAAATTAAGATGGCAGAAGTCTTTAAGTTCACACTGTCACAAGGTAAGGGTAACACTTTCCAAAGTAGAGAGAAAACCCCAATCGATCTGACTCAAGCTGCCTTGGAGAAAAGCAAAATCTTTGCAAAATGGAAGTTCAGAAGTGGCAGAAAGTTAAAGTAACACTGAGATTAAATAGCACCTTTTGTCCGTTGACTCTTGTTGAATTTCTTATCATCATGCAGTGTGAATAAAGGAAAAAAGAGTGAACTTGGTCAGCAGAAGATTAGATTGTAAAGGATCAATCATCTAGACTTCAGCCCTTCCCATTTCCTCCCTCCCGCAAAATACAGGGTTTGGAAAAATAAGCAGTGTTTATTTACTAACAATGACATAAAATACATCTTAATATATTTTTATTTCTTTACAAATTAAAAGATGCATTGGAAAAACAAGTGAAGAAAATGAAAGGTTCATTTATGATTTCATTTCCACCCCCAAACCCCCCAATATTAATACTAGAAATTAGTATTTGTGGAAGTCTGCGGTTGCTGCGCCTTATATTCCTGGGAAGTTCTTTTTCCCCTCTGGTTAAAAATCCTCTAGATTTTTGGTTGGAGGCAGTACATGGAGTAAAAAGTCAGCCACATTCATACAAAAATGCTGAAGGTTCTGTCAACTACATCTTGAAAGAGTTTCTCCCTTACAATTTTCATATTCCCCTTTCTGTGTAGTGATGGGAGGGAAGACAAACTAGCAGCATTAGAAGAAAAATGGATTTATATACATGCTACAGGATATGGAACTAAAACCACAGCCAGATATTTTTCTGTTCTTAACAAGGACTTTCCTCTGAAATATCAAGTCCAGGTAACACGTTCTCTAATCCACCCACATTCTTCCTTCCACTTTTAGTGCTATTGATAGCTTAAACTCCTGGGTATTGCAAGAACACTTGTTAAGTGTTCAAGCTAAAATATACAAGCCCCCTTTCAAAAGTGAATAAACAAAGCCCTTAGAATTCTGAATTTGATTTACACTCCCTCCCTCTTCGCAGGAGTCTTCTCATCCACCCTTGCAGAATGGAGCAGCAGAGTGGCCGAAGTGGATGGATTAATCTGTCTGAGGTATTTTAGTTTAACAAACAGGCTTATAAAAAGGTTTTGTGCGAGCTGATCAGTAGGTAGAATGGGGGAGGGTATAAACATCCAGTAATGAAACTCCTCACTATGGCCCAGATGCTTTCAATAACCGAAATCAGGTACTTGCAATAGCTACTACAGTACAGTCTAAATCTTAGTTTTTGTATCCCCTTTCCTTGTATTCCAGGGTACAAAGCAGTCTCAAATTTGCATCAGTATAAATCAAAGTCCTGCTTGTTTGCTATGATTCACAATAATATGGTTGAAAACGGCCACTTCCTTAACATCCAGTTCCTACACAGCTCCATATCACCTTGTTAAAAGTATTTTCTGCTTGAGGTTAAGAGGCTTTTGTTCCCACCACCAACTAGATAGACAGGTAAGCTCTGCAGGAGAGGTCGTGGAAAATGGATCGAGTAGGGCATTAAAGAGCTGTGCAATGAGAAGTCACGACACACGCTGACAGAAATGACTGTCTCTAGCCCTACACTGTTCAGAAGCTGCTGACTGCTGCTCACTGAACTATTACTTACTCCATTACAGATCTGCACAGCAACTTATAGTACAGGGAAGATTGTGGAAATAAATTTGCCATGCTGCCTCCCAGTTTACTACTCATTTCCTTTTTCATGGATTTCTGGTTCAGACAGCACATGATACATCTGTGCTCTGCAATGTCATGTTTCCTCTTAAGAGGAGACACAAAATGTTTGGCTGCTCCAGCTCCCATCACCTGACCTGCCTCTTATCCTCCCCACCTGCACGTCCTCTTCACACTTGGAGCATGCACACGCGCCCATACAAACACACAGCAACTACCAGAAGTTTTGAAGAGTTATCGCTTTTTCACCCAACGTTGAATCATGTACAGTGAACTGAAAAAAACTACATTCATTACGACAGGATTAGCGAGCATGGGGTGGGGGGTGAACTCCTGCCAAGCACAGGAAACAATTTAGATGCAAGTAAAAGACCTGGTAGCAAAGGCCTTTTTTTTTTTTAGCCCTCACCAGGAAAATTTTTCATCTCTCATACAGGACTGGGAGAGGCTGAAAGGATTTCTGCTTATGCAATGTGTATTAAAAATTATGGAATTGTACAGATTTCTAGGTTGTCCTTTTTTGAGGGCGCTGGGCCTTCTGATCAGGTCATTAGTGGGGACTGAAATGTCACTGCTGAGTTCCAGCACCACGCCCTCCTCTAGCTCAGTAGCTGCCGAATCTCCTTGTGCATGTGACACAGGAAGTCCACATATGAAGCCCCCCCACTCAGGCTCTTGTCCTCCACTAGAAAGTGTTTGAACAGCATTTCCAGCTTATCTTCTTGCTTCACAATTATTAACTACAAAAAACAAAACAAGAACAAAACCAACAGTGAGTAGTTAGCAGAATTAATGTTCTTGGAAAAAACAGCAAAAAGCTAAATAGCTCAAAAAATTGAAAGACAGATATCCAGAATCACACCATATATGGCTTATGTGCTTTGACTTCTGTAACTAAGATGGGTTAAATGTACGTGGTTTGTGCGATAGTACATTATAACAGGTCTGAAAAAAAACAGTTTTAGAACTATGGTAAGCACAGAACTCCAAAACTAGTAAAATGTTTTTCAGATCTTTGAAAACTTTGTTTGAATCATATATATGAGATCGGGAAGAGTAATTCCAGCATTGTAGCATTACCAGGCATCACCCGATCTGCTAAAAGGGATGGGGATTTCCAGCTACAAATAGGGGGACAACATTTTTACCTTCATGTAGCGGGATCTCTGCACTTGAAGCATGTCAACAATAGATCGTACTTTCTTTGAAAAGGGGTTTTCCAAGACAGGCAGGGTACTCTGGAATGAAAGATAGCCAATCCCAATTAGTCACATGAAGTAGAGCAACATTAAACAAAACTCAGCAGTTCTGTCATATTATGTAAGAGTGGAGATATATCTACCTCCACTAACACACAATCCCTTTGACCTCAACTAGTTAAAAGAGAATATAGCATGATACCAGAATTAAAGGTCAATTATTCGTTCCATTTACATATCGACCGTTCTCCTCACCATCAGTAGAGATGTGGCTTGTCAAATAAAGCTAGGCAAAAGCATGCCTGACATACCCAGACTAGGCACATTCCACTAATTTCACACACCTGTGCTTCTCTTGTTCCTGGTATGAAAAATTTAACACTATATTCTTAACTTGCTTTCTCATTGCTTAAAATTTTGGATGACTAATCAGAGACACTAGCTCCCGCACTGCCATCCAGCTCACCAAGGCGTTGCTAATCTGACTGAAGGATGATACTCCAAAGAGGTTCTGGATCAGGCCTTGCTGCACATTGACTCCCACCCACACAAAGATGTTCAGTCCATTTTCCAGCAAATATATGTCGCCCTTGGAGAGACGTTCCTCTGAGTTCCGGATTGCTGCTGGCAAGGAGTCACTGTCAACATCTGCTTTGGTCTGTTTTAGAGTGAAATAAAAAATAAAATACAGCTTATAAAACAAGAACATCTTACAAAGTCCTAAAAATTTCTGCTACTAAGATCCCAATGTTTTTCTCATTTCTAGGACACATAAGACTGCAATATCCGTGACTGAACTATCATCTTCCTTAGCTTCGTTTTCTTACTGAAAGTGACACAGAAGCAGGTCAGAGACTCTTGGTCGGCAAAAGAGAACATAAGGCTTCTGTCAAATTACTCCGTAGTTCCAATATTGCCTCCTGGAATAATGTAATTACTTGTCAGTGTTATTCCAGCAACTATGGTACTAAACAGTCGGAAGAGTTGTGGAGTTGCCCTGCAATGATGAAAAGTACTAAATAAAGTTACAAGAAGCTTTAGGACTTTTAAAAAACTATTTTAAGT